CTGGTGTTCTCGGTCGCAGAGCAGTTCCGCTATGACACCGGGTTTCTCAAGGCTAGCGAGGTCGTCGCTAGCGGCACGATCGGTGAGCTGCGCCATGTCCACGCGCGCGTCGCGACCAGCATGGCGCCGGAGAACAAGTACTTTCAAACCGCCTGGCGCGCTGAGCCCGGGTACCAGGGCGGCTTCGTCCTGGATGCGGGTGTTCATTTCGTTGCGCTGGTGCGCATGGTTGCCGGTCAGGAGATTGTCGAGACGAAGAGCTTCACGGCCCAGTTCGCGCCGCACCTGCGGCCCCTTGATACCGTTAATGCTGCGCTGAGGTTCTCGAAGGGTGCGCAGGGGACGCTGAGTATATCCTTTGCGGCCGCGACGTATATTGCGGACTTTGTCTTTATCGGCACCGCGGGTGTGTTGACTGTTAAGTGTGCAGGCGTTGATACGACGGTTCGTGTTGAGGGAGGGGATCGCAATGTTCTTTCTGAGGAAGTCTTCCCGGCGGATGGGAATGTGAATGAGATCCGTGCTTTTGTACAAGCAATTGCTGCTGGTAAGGGGGATAGGGCTGGGAGTCCCCGTGAGGCTCTGGCGGACGTTGCTGTGATTGAGAGTGTATGCGCTGGTGGTGGCCTTGTTCAGTCTCATGAGATATAGAGTCAGTTAGAATGTGAAAATGAAATGAAAGTGTATCTTCCTCAGCCTTCCACTCTCAACATAGTTAGAAGTTTACCATACATAGCTAGCTGTCTCAAAATGGTTGCCAACAACAAGTTTCTTTCAGATCAATAAAACACAGCTGTACTTTACCCGTTTCCTCTAACATTAGTGACACTGTTTTTCTTGTTAAGATACATACCTGCGAAGGTTAGTTAATTTGAATATGTACCTGCAGATACTGTTTCATAATTAAAGGCATAATGAAAACCTCAACTACCTTCCCAGATGTGGAGTTAGTTCCAAATGCTTCACTTTCATACTTCCAAGGAATTCTTTTACTCGAGCAATAGATAATAACCAAGTACGTGTACATGGCACTGTGCGATTAGCAAAAAGCTACGCAACAAATAGCTATACGGATATTGTCTATTTATCCAAAAAATTTCTCAGATATATAATCTATCTAAAAAAATACCCCACCAACTCAGAGAAAATTTTGCTTTTTCCTTTCCCTCGTCAAATCAAAACATGAAACAACACAAACCATCCTGCTTCACCCTCACCACTTCTCAAAACCTCAAATCCCATCCAATCTTCGGCCCCAACTCCGGCAAAGCATCCGCCACGCTCTGCACATCCTTATCCCCCCGCCCACTCAGATTAAGCACAATATTCGTCCCCTTCTCCATCGTCTTCGCCAGCTCCACCGCACCGAACACCGCATGCGACGACTCCAGCGCAGGGATGATACCCTCCAGCTCGGTTATGAGCCGGAAACCCTGTAACGCCTCTGCATCAGTCGCAGCAATGAAGCGCGCCCGGGAATCGTCCTTCCAGGACGAAAGCTCCGGTCCAACACCGGGGTAGTCGAGGCCGGCGGAGATGGAGTGCGTGTCTGCGATCTGGCCGTCTTCGTTTTGCAGGATGTAGGTGCGCACACCGTGCAGGACACCCTTGGAGCCGTGCGAGAGGGTCGCGGAGTGGCGGGCGGTGTCCGTGCCGTCGCCGCCGGCTTCGACGCCGAGGAGCTTGACGGTGGGGTCCTTGGAGAAGGGGTAGAACATGCCGACGGCGTTGCTACCGCCACCCACGCAGGCGACGACGGCGTCGGGTAGCCTGCCTGTGAGCTTTAGCATTTGTTCCTTGGTCTCTTCACCGATGACGGATTGGAGAGTGCGGACGATGGTGGGGAAAGGATGTGGTCCGATGGCAGAGCCAATGACGTAGTGGGTTGTATCGAGATGAACGACCCAAGCGCGGAGTGCTTCGTTGACGGCATCACGGAGGGTGCGCGAGCCCGCTTCAACGGCGACAACTTTAGCTCCGAGGAGTTTGATGCGGAAGACGTTCAGGGCTTGGCGACGGACGTCTTCAGCACCCATGTAGATGACGCACTCCATGCCAAATTTCGCGCAGACGGTAGCTGTGGCCACGCCATGCTGGCCAGCCCCTGTCTCTGCGATGATTCGCTTTTTGCCGAGGCGGCGTGCTATCAAAACTTGGCCGAGCGCGTTGTTGATCTTGTGGCTTCCTGTGTGATTCAGGTCTTCACGCTTGAGGTAGATGTTGGCTCCACCAGCATATTCGGTCAGGCGTTCTGCAAGATGCAGGCTGCTTGGTCGACTCATATATGGATAGTACGACCGAAACTCTTCCCAGAATTTGGGGTCATTCCTAGCCTCATTGAATCCTGCTTCAAGCTCTGACAGGCTGTCCATGAGGGACTCTGGCACGTACTGGCCACCAAACTCGCCAAAACGGGCAGGCATTGCGGCCTGATCTCCGGTCACATTGAGCGCTTCCAGCTGATCAGCTAGTCCGGCTCCAGACTCGTTTTCGCCATTATCGATCACCTTGTCGACTTGGGCGTTCGTTGGCTCCTGGGCGTGAGCAAGAGCTTCAGTAAGTCCCACTTCTCGAGTCATAGGCTCGGCCTCTGTGTTACGTTCCACTTTCCTGCCAGTGATACTAGTGCAATATTCTTCGATCTTCTGGGCTCGTTGGCCAGGAGGTGCTTCACTCAGAACGTTGATCATCTGGCTACCGATGACGGCGCCTTCAGAGATCTCCTGCACCTTGAGGAAATGTTCTCTTGTGCTAATGCCGAACCCTAACGCAGTGGGAATGTTTCCCGAGTAGGAATGGACCCGGGCAAGGAGCTCCGGGAGTCCTTCGCTTAGTTTCCCAGTTGCACCTGTAACACCCATTCGAGAAACGACATAAATGAAGGAATCAGCGATCTTGCAGAGTAATTTCATTCGAGAATCGGAGGTGGCGGGTGCAATCAGTGGAACGTAAGATAACCTGCACCCCGGGTCAGTATGACACATAACGAATCACCAAAAACGATAACGTCGAGATAAGATTCTAGACTTTCAAGGAGAAAAGCCAATCGAGTATTCCGAAAAAAAAAAAAAAAAAAAAAAAAAAAAAAAAAAAACGGAATGCAGCGAAAGAAAAAGGAGAGGGAAAATAAAATATTCGTGCGTACCCCTCCCTCCGGCACAGATCCCGGAATCGTAGCGCTTCTTCAGGTGGAAGATCAACCATGATGAATCCATTTACGCCAGCCGCCCTCGCGTCCTTCAACATTCGTTCCTCCTTGTACTGGAGCAACGGGTTATAGTATCCCATGAGCAATACGGGAATCCTCAGCCCCCGGCTCCTCGCGGTGCGCACCATATCCAGCACCGACGTAACGGTCACACCATTCTTCAACGCTTGCGTGTTGGCTCTTTGGATGGTAGGACCGTCGGCGATAGGATCTGTGAAAGGCATACCCAGCTCGATCAAATCTAATATTTTCGCAACGAGGAGCGACACAACCAAGTCAGTAATTTTGTGTTTTTCGAGATGTTTTTTTTTTTTTTTTTTTTGTCTTGTTCTCTTTCATCCTATTCGTTTACTCGCCCCACCCGTTTCTCCCTTTCTACATTTCTTGCATAGGGAATAACTGCGATAAATAAGAACAGGTAGCGAATACAGAGGATAGTTGGAAAAATAGAAAGCGCTATAAAGCTTGCACGAAAGTGCGGGAGACGCGGATATCGTATAGTAACTTGATTAAAACACACGTATACACAGCATCACCCTCCCTCCCTCTCCCTCTCCCTCTCTCCCTCCCACCTTCGCAGTTCAAAGGCCGGCTGCTGTGCCATTTCCCACCGCATAACAGTCGAGAAACGACAACAACAACACAAATTCCAACATAAGAAACAACAAACGAGAACAAGTGGTGAACGAGAACAAAAGCTATCAAGAAAAGAAAAAGAAAAAAGAAAAAAGAAAAAAAAAAAGAAAAAAAGAAAAAAGAAAAAGGAGCGTCTGACTCACCAGCCCCACCAGCTTCCATCCCGAGCATGACATCTGGGGTGTCATGCTTCTCGGGGTAACCAGCTGTAACATAGGCGACGAGCGCACAGCGCTTCTCCTTCTTGCATTGCGCGAATGTCTGCTTTATCTTCTCCATTGCCGGCTCACGAATATGTCACGGGCTTTGCGATAGTTTGTGTGGGGGAGGGCGTGTGTTGTGTGTGTTGTGTGCGGGGTGGAATGGAATGGAGCTGTCGAAAGCAAATCCGAAAATCCGAGGATGGTATAGGATGAATGGAAGAATTCAATTCGATTTCAATTCCAACTCCAATCCGTAGCGGCGTATAATCGAGAGAGCGAGTGGAAGAATGCACATGCGGTGTCTGTGGGGTATTGTATTGGGAGTTGCGGCGCAATTCTATTCTAGGTAGGACGTTTTGCCTTTTCTTTTTCCTTTTCCCGTTCCTTTTTCCCCCTCGTAAGTTGGTAAGTTAACTATCTTAAATTTGAAGAGAGATACAATGAGCAATTGGGCTTCCTTTACCTCAGTTCAGCAGTGTGTAATCTGTCGAGAGGCGCACACACGGAGAGAAGAGAGAGAGAGAGCGAAATAGAGAGTGAGATAAGCTTTGCTCTTGTCTCTCTCAATATAAAAGGGTGGGTTGAAGTGGGGAGTGACTCAACTCTGGCCTGATTACATAAGTTTCTGATTCCCGAGTCTGCACTGACTGGTGCCTTCTCGATGACTAAGCGGGTATAGAGCAAGAACTGTAATGTATGTATGTATGTACTGCAGTATACAATGTACAGTACAATGTACAGGTACAATGTATGCACTCTGTATGTAGGTGTGGGATGGCGTGCAGGAAATGCGCGACGGCCGTTTGGAAACAAAGATCTAAGAGAGTTGGTTACCCAGTCCTGTTTGTCGTATAATGTAACTAGTTGTGTCTTCGCGATCTTCGTCTCTTCGTATCCGAAGGTTACTCAACAAGCAAAAAAAGTTCCAAAACAACTTTTAATGAACACATCTAGTCAGTCATGTCATGTTGCAACATTTGATAACTTACATTATTTTTTAAAAAAGTAATCACTATATCTGAAATAATACGCAAGAGTAGTATTTATCTTCGAAGATGCATAAATACAAGAAGCATTTTAGATTCATTGATCAATTAAATAATCCGTGTGCAATTTAGAACTCTGTATGTTAGTCTGATAGTGAAAAGGAAATAGTGAAAAGAAGTTACTGAAAGAAAAATGAATTAGGAGATATCGAGATAAAAAAAACATAGATTATGGAAAATATGAAATTAGATAGACTAAACAATCAAAGGAAACTAGGAAAACAAAAACCAAAAACATCCTGCACATATATCCCATTGTCCAGCCATAAAGAGAACAAAGAAAACAAAATAAGACAACACAAAAACAAGACAACATAGATAAAAATAACAAAAAATAACATATCCCAAGCCCAATTCCTTAAAGAGTAGAAACACACAAAATAGTTAAAAATACCAAGAAAGGAGTCCCAGATCCAAATCCCAATGCAATATTTATGCAAGCAAAAGGTTCAAAAAAACAACAAAAAACAATTCCCTCCCCGATGCATAAAACATAACAAAAAACAAGGGAAGCATATTCGTCAAAAAATATGGCCCTAGCGCTAGGTTTCAAAGGAGTGTGACCTGTGATGCATGCTTATTGTATATGAAAGGATAGACCAGAAAAAATAAAATAAAAATAAAATAAAAAAATGCTCGAAGGGGATTCCCGTACCCTGAGTGCTGTGCACGCGAAGAGGGGGAAAGAAAAGAACAAGCAAGTATAGCAACCGATCGAAGGTGTGGGTGGGTATGTCTGGCTGGCCCTGTTTGGCGGAGCGAGGCAAGTATATAAAAAAAATCACCCGCAGCAAAAACAAGCCTGATTTGAGAGTTGCAGCCGACATTAAAATTCGGAATTGATGAGACACAAGCCGCGGGGGGGAGGAGGTGGGGAGCGGGGGACGTGTATGATAGGCGGTAAGTAGCGGATGTAGAAGAAGGGGGGAGGCGTGAGAGAGGTAGGTATTGGTAGTTAGTAGTTGTGTATTGAAAAGGGGGGGTGTGGTTCGGCGTGCGTCGAAAATATAAAAATGTCTAGAACGGGGTACGGGAATCGTCGTAAAGGATCGACATGAAATGAAAGATGAAATGTAGAAAAATAACGCCGCCGTGAGTTTCCTTCTGTTTCCCAATCCCCTCTCCCCTTATATACGCCTAGTCAACTTTCGCTGGGAAGCAAGATGTGACAAAACGTATACAAAAAGGGACAAATGAAGGGATAAGCCGAAAGCTTGAATGAAACAACGCACACACAAAAAACGCCGCGCTCGTGTTGTTCTAAAATGGGGTTCGTTAAAGGAGTGACGAGAAAGGAAAATCGTTGAAGATGAAAAAAGATCAAAAACAAATGTCGCTATGCATCGGATGGTTTAAAGGAGTGGCTGATTGGATGGGGACGCCGAGAAGTTCGAAAAGAAAAACAAAATTGAGGCGAAAAAAAAATCAAATCCGTTTTACCCATGGGCTGGCTATGCAATGAATTAGGAAAATAAAATCGAAATACTTGGAACAAGGCGGAAAAAGAGGAGTGTGACGGGTTCGTGCGTAGGTAGGTAGTTGAGAGGGAAAATGTCGGTTCCCTAGAGAGATGTATCGAAGTTTTCTGTCGTGTTCATGTTGTGTAAGGAGGATAGGAAGATCAGGAGCGAATCGAGCAGGATGTTGTGAGAGGAGAGAAAAGTGCAAGGATGAGCACATCATAACGCATTACGACGCAACAAGAGTTCTGTTCGAACAAATGACAAGGGCATTGAGCGTGGCCCATGCAAAATGATCGGTGGCATAAAAAAAAAGCATTGGTAAACTGTGTTGCATGACTGAACCCATGTATGTCCCGGAGAACAAGTCACTCAAAACATAGCCAAGAGAATCCAGGTAGTGACCAAGCATTTGCCAAGTGAGGATCTGAGGTTTCAACCCAACTGTAGCAGGGCAATTGCAGGATCCCGATTGGCTAGTAGCCACCACAGAGTTCTTCTCAGAACCTCTATGGTCCGGTGGTTGGATGGCCCAGCGAATATACTGGCGGGGCCGCATAATCCTGGCTAACATGGCCAAGGTGGCTCTGGCGCGCATAACTGAGCGAATGGTTGGGAGCAGCAGTAGTACCTGGACTGGAGTTGACGAATGCGCCAAAGTCCCACGGACCACGATTACCAGGTGCAGTAGGGGCCGCCTGAGGCTGCTGGTGGTGGTTTATATTCTGGTAAGGGTACGGAGCCGGTAGGTTCGAATAATGGCGGCTGTTGTTGGTTACCATTAATCGAAGGTCAACTGCACCAGGAACTGGAGAAGTATCCAGAACCGCTTTTGGTGCGTGGAAATGGGGAGATATGCCGCTGGCGGACACGTTGGTAGCATATGTATTGGAGGCACCCGTTTCGGAAATTGATCGTGGAGATGTGGCATGAAGATCTGCGCTGCCATCTGATGCGCTGCTGGTGCCAACATAATTTGAGCTAATGGGCGCCGTAAGAGCACCCGCAGTAGACGAGTAGCTTGCGGACTGTCATATAAAGGTCAGCTTTCGCATGTTCACAAAGTTCTCGTTTTGGGATATGGAGAGAAGAATAAAGGTTGGGGGAAAAATAGAGAAAAATAATACGTACGTATTTCCCAATAATCTTCTTGAGAGCATGAGAAAGGATCCTCCAGGGGAAAACTTTTACATCCTTTTCGATATTGCGCGGTTTCGGATTCGGAAAGCCCATGATGACTTTGAAAAAGTCTTCGCTGTCCGGTTTCGCTTTGGAAACTGTCAAGGGACGGAAACCTTCCAGGTTCCTCCGAATGCGATTCTTCTCCTCAACTGTGAATCTGACTCCAACAAGCGATTCAAGAAGGTAGATGGTGTCTACGCTGGTCACATAGCACTCATTCTTGCCATCCCAATAGATGCAGCTAATGCAGATGCTATTAGGGGCGCGATCGGCCGGTGCGACCGCCTTGAAATCAGCATGGATAATGCTACCACTCTGGCGTCTAGTGAAATGAACCAATCTTCTCTTGGAGGTGCGCTCTTCTGGCGACCAATTCTCTGTCATGGAATCCAGATCGCCGTCGATCTTCAGAACAGCTTTGGAAGGATACATGGCGTAGGGGTTGAATGCTTGATTTGGGCCTGCGCCTGCCAAATGCTGAATGGTAGAGGTCCGAATGAGAATCGGATTCATAGTTTTGACAGGAGACGGCATCGAAGAGGAATGAGAATTAGGGGTCATGGACAGCCCAGGGCTGCGAGCAGATATATTGACCGTAGCGAACGAAGGGCTCCATGATGATGCTAGAGGAGACGGAGCTTTGATCATGGGCTGCGATGTACCTGTAGTTCCAGGGTATTGTAGCAGAGATGGCCGAGGAGACACTGGATGGTATTGAGCTGGATAGACATTTGCTGTCGTTGGAGTTGGAAGATAAGGAGAATATGGGGATCCCGAGAGGCTTTCGCTGTATGTGAATGTATTTGTAGGCTCCTTAATCCGCAGCTGCTTCACGGGCGCTGATCGGGCAGATCTTGATGTTTCGTCTGAGGCGTCAGAGAGTCGTCTCTTCCGCGATGTCCCGGCAGGGGAGACCGCAGACTGAGGATTATGGTCGTAAGTAAAAACACCAACATGGACGGCTTGGGCGCCTTGGCCCTCGCTCTCTTCCATAATCATTTGTAGAGGGACTGTGAGTGAAGGACAACCTGTAGCTGCAAAGGGCGGCACGTCAACAGACAACACATACTGAAAGTTGGATTTAAGGAAGCCTAATGAAGTAACGACACATTCGCACCGTTCCGACCCAAAGAGAAACGAGACAGAAGTCGGAGCAGCAGGTGAGAGGAAGTCGTACGGGCACTGGAGATAGACAGAGAGCTTTGATCCTTCATGGCCAGTAAGTGGAGTGTACGATGCGACTTCCGGCAGCTGACGGGAACCCAAGTCCAAAACAGGAGAGCGGGGCAAGTCAAAGGAATGAGATCCGGAGTATCCTTCATTGGTCACGTAATGTACACTATCGTCGTCCGGGATGGTGTGGCTTTCCAGGGCGGAGGGAAACAGATGTGTTACGTAGGGTGGCTGAGCATAAGCGGAGAATCCAGCCGTGTCATGGAGTGCCCGCGTGGCATCATAATCTGGCAAACCGAAAAAAAAAAAAAACAATACAGCCGTCAGTTTAAAATAAATCCATACCATGTGTGACCCCCTTTTTCCTAATCTGAAAATACCGCAGTGTGATTGGTACATAGCCGAAATAAAAATTCATGTTTTTTGTCTTCTTTTCCGTGCAAAAATGATTTCCATAGCCAAAATCTGTCTTGGCAAGGGGATGGACCATACATAGGCCACCTAAGGATGAAAACGGGGGGTAACATAAAAACATCATTGCACTCACCAAGGAAATCGGCTTGTGGTGATTTCTCGTAAGCTGACATGGAAAATAATCCCCCAGACTTGGCTAGAAGCCCGTCTGAAAAGGCTCCAGCGAATCTCGATTCCTCAGGATCGGAAAAGTCGAAAGATTCGTCTAGGATCAATGGAGTCTGGAAATCCAGATCCAGCTAATCATGGGCGGAAACAGAGAAAAGTTAGCAAATGGTAACACAAGAGGGAAACGAGTGTGAGAACGGGTGTCAGATGTTCCGTTGGAGCAGGTACGCGCGCGGAGCGAATGACGAATATGCGTGGGTAAAATGTACGATAGAAGAAGAATCAAACACAGATGGAAAACGAAGAACATGGGAGACATAGACTTACTTGAGCAGAGTGACTCTTTGGGAACGCCAGGGTGACGGTGTTGCAATACATGCAACGCGGGAAAACTGTTTAAATAAGCGAGTGGACGAGATTCAAAAATCTCAAAAAAGGACGGTAAAAGAAATAATGGTGGAGATCCTCAGGCGGTTCTCCGAGACAAAAAACGAGCGACGAGATGAGGAGTGCTAGTCAACCTCAAAAAAATAAGTAAAACAAAGACTCCGAGTCAGCATATAGAACCGTGGGTTCTAAAATGTGAGACGCAGCCCAGTGCTTGCCACAGGCTCACGAACTTTAGCGAAAGAACCTTGAGGAATTTGTAAATTTGTATTCCTCAGATATTTAAGTGCAAGAGATGTGGACAATGGGCGAGCTAGAGTGATGAGACAGAACGAATATTGATGGTCTTTTTGGTACGTTTGGTATAAGGTGGTCCGGTAGATTTGAGCTAACAACGTAGCCGTCCGTGGAGACTACCGACTGTTTCTTAACACTCTTAGCTGGTTCGAGTTTCGGGAAGCTGAAGCAAGCTGAACGATAGTTGAGAAAGAGAACAATTGGCGCGATGAACTACTTCATTCATTAGCATGGGACTCATTCCCAAACAGAAGCGCCGGCCCTATTGCACCTGCCAGAAAGAATCTCACCGAGTGACTAAAGAACGAATAAAAACGGTGCCGCTACAAGGGTAAAATCTTTCAGATTTTCAAAGAGACGGCAAAATTGGCGGTGATATAGGTGCTAGAATCACGGAAATGAAAAAAAATTAGCTCTTTAGGAACAAAAAAATAAATCCGTCAAACACATTGGAGTGGAACCGTGGGTACTGGAAATGACTTTGCACGGTAAACCGATAATGGTAATGAAATAATTGAACACAAAAAAGAATAAACAAAAGGACAGGCGGAGAAAGAACCATAAGATTAGGCGGATAATGACACCAGGCGGGAACCAGTGCGTAAGCGCTCGCCTGGAGCCATTCATATTAAAATAAAAAAAACAATAAAACATAATAGTCACATAAAATCATCAAGACATCAAACCAAAAATATGACCACTACTAACCTCAACAGAATTCACAAACAAAGGGAGCAGGGATCCCTGCTCTTCCTTCTTTCCAAGACAGTAGCAAACTAGTCGTCCAGTATATGCCGGAGGAGACTGATGGAGATAATAATAATATCACTAAACTGCAGCGTTTAAAATACTGGTATCATGTGACCGCAAGTTGATTTTGGTACGGGGATTGAGATTGTCAATAGTTTTGAATGGCGTATATATAAAACGGATAGAATGACCTTGCCGAAGAAAACGATGCAGAACCGACGCGGGAGAGGGAGGTTTTCCTGGTTGTAATAGATTTTTGATGGATGATTGGCGGAGAACGATCGATTATTCCTCTATGAGAGAGAATCCAGGCGGGTAGAATAGTTAAATTTAATTTCTCTTCTTTGGCGTCGGATGAGGTGGGGAGGGGGGGATAATTGCGTCTCCTGCTTCCCGTTAGAGTCCACAGGCAAACGACCGACACGGCAAGTTTCTATGATAGCCTTAAGAAGAGGGAACTGGATAATGAGAGCCAATAGAACCTAAGGAGGAGCTGATGGCTTGGTGAGACGGAAGTCGATGACGGACAAGAACTGTTGCTTTGGCGCTGTTAGAGATTCCGGTGTCGTATGCAGCTGTCAGATAGGGCTCTGTTGATCTTCTTTTTTTCTTTTCGCTTCTGCTTCTGCTTCTGCTTTGGTCGTCTCAGCACTAACTTCTTCCTTCTTGCCCTCAGCTTCCGGTAAATAATCTAGGCGCAAGAAGTGGTTTGACGGTATGGCCCGTATTGCTTCCGCCGCCGGGGGGGGGGGGGGCGTTTTCGCACACGACGTTCAGTGATACAGCGGGCACACAGAGCGAGAGATATGTTGTCCAACGACACTCCAAGATGGCAGTCAGACAGGCGAAGCCGATCGAGTCCGAACGAAAGAAACTTGAGCAGTGAGGGGTTGTTGTTATTGTCGTTGCGGTTGCGGTTGATGTTGATTTTGTCGTGCTATGTAGTCGTAGTTGTTGTATCCAGTTCGTTTTAATAAGGTCGAGTTTCCTCTTTTTTTTCCTCTTCGTCTTCCAACTTCTTTTCTCACTCTTTTTTTAAAAAAATTAATTTCGAACAAAGTAAAAGGAACAATGAGGACACAAGAAAAGGTAGCGAGCGTAATTCCGTTGAACCCAGAGCGAGCGTTGGGTGTGCAACGAAAATGAAAACAGGAAAGGAAAAAATAATTATTATAAAATTCACGTCGTCATTTAGATGGTGGGTGGAACAAGAGGGGAGGGAAGGGGAAGATAAGGACCAGAGGAGGAGAACCAGAGCTAAGAAGAGGAGAGAGAGGAGAGAGAGGAGAGAGGTAAAAAGTAGAAGAAGAAGAAGAAGAAGAATAAGAATAAGAAGAAGAAAAAGAAAGAAGTAAGAAACAGAAGCAAGCGGCAGAAGCAGACCAGCGGCGGACGGCGCAAGGGCTAAAAAAAGCCGGCCAGTTTGGAGGGAGAGACGGACGAGAACGGATGGTTGGTTGGTGGGGGAATAATGGCCATATCAGTGGTGGCAGTGGTGGCAGTGGCCCAGCCAGTGGTGGCCCAGTGGGGGGGGGGGAGGGGAGGGGATGGGATGGCAACCAACCTGTGACCCATACATACCACATACCATACCATACCATGGCATTCATCATCATCATCATCATCATCATCACCACCATCACCATCAACCACCACCATCACCACCACCACCACCACCACCACCGCCGCCGCCGCCCAGGGCCCCCCCCACTACACCACGGGTAAGAAACCCCTACAACACACTTACATACGCTGTACACACTCATCACTCACTCAACTCACTCACTCACGCTAAAGCCGGACTGGCGCTGAGTGGGCACTGGGCAGCGGGCCCTTTTCCGGAGTGGGCCCTGGGCAGCGGGCCCTTTCCCGGAAATCCCAGTTGTTTTTTTCCCCGGTTGGGGAACCCCCCCCCCCCCCCCCCAAACCAAGCGAGCAGTTCGAGGACAAGGGTCGGTCCCGGCAAGTAGTGCATAGTATTGTATTATTATTGAGTTTTAACCAGACCTTGGGAAGGGCAGCCTGGTGATAACTTATGACTGAATGAGCTTAGTCGAGTTAAACTAACTTATCCGAATGCAGCTTACAATATTAATCATTAGTTGGGCCGAGCACTCCGATCCGGGGTGGGCGTCTTCTATCAAAGTTAGGGAGGGGGTTTATCTTTGTAGCTCGCTAGGGGTTTGCAGGCGGGGAATGGACTAGCGGGGTTGCTCAGGCGCCGCTTTAACTAATGGCTAGGCAGTGCTCAGGCGCCATCCCAGTTAAACTCTAGGGTCGTTACGGTTAAAACTGCCTTCTTCCTCGGTATGGTATGCACAACACAAAATATACAGTTTGATAATAATGATAAGCATAAGTATTGAAAAATTGCTCAAACTACTACACACATGCTCTTTTCCATCCTTCATACGCATTATTGGTCTATTATTAACTATCTGATGGGATCATAGGCCTGTTGAAAGGGCTTCTCCTATCTGGCCTCCTATCTGGGGCATATTGGAAAAAGCACCGTGCCCGATGGCTCTGACCTGTCCGGCAAAAATCACTGAATTCATCAGACACATCACGCACGTATTCGGATGGGTTCTCGAACTGCAAACAATAATAATAAAATGCAGCGAATACACCCTTAACATTATTACTATTATTCACTTTGCACACAAAGGAGCCCTTTCAGAGTGAAGTCAAAACCAGAAAACCAGTTCACGGGGAAATACCGTACCCACGATGAGATCTCTGATCATGATATCGTATTTTGCGCAGTCCGTCGTCCACTAATAAACTTCCGTCTCCTCTCCACACGAGTGGCGTTAACGCCAAGTCCATCCGGTGTAATCTATACGTTTTGGCGGTACATTCATACATACAGATACCACGTCAATACCGTCTGTATCCCACGGGTTTCTTTGCAATCACCATCCTCCTCCTGGCCTGTCATCCATTCTTTTTTTTTTCCGCCGCTACACCACACTCCCACTTGGAAGAAGAAGTTCCGGAATGGTGCTGTGGCCACAATCATACATAAGCTGCTCTAAGATAAGAGAGAGAGAGAGAGAGGGAAGGAGAAGAAGAAAGGGCGGGAAGGGGAAATAATACTCAAGCAAAAAGCCTGCAAGATGTCATCATCATTGACCTCCGTCTTGTAACCGTAACATTCTTGAACGCATGGTTAAGAATCTTCCTTGCTTATCCGTCCACTTATTACATCGTGTACCTACTCTTCCCCATCCTTTTTCATCATTTTCTTCTTCCAAACGAGCAGCGAAGAACTTCAGGAAAAGGGAATAATCCATCTTCCCAAAAACCAATGATATATGCCAATGACCTTTTCCTGTTTAGTTCCGTACCGTACCGATCCCCGCCGCCGCCAGCTAAATACTATTCCCTCCCTCCTGCCACATCTCGCACAGCTTGACCGCCCGCAAAGGTGAGCGAGGCTGTGCCGAAAAAAAAAAAAAAAAAAGTCGCTAGAAGGAATTTTGCAGTAACTAGTTAGGCGTTTAAAATGGTGTGAATGATGTTTCATTTTCGGTGTTTCCAACAACTACCCAACCAACCCCCCTTTCTTTACCTTTGAATGACACCAAGAAAAAACAATTTGGATACAAAACCCCATTCCCCATATCCCATCCCGGAAAAGGGAAAGGAGGAAAAAGAGAGCATTTTTTCGTTAAACTCGAACGGGCGCAACCTCCAACCGAACCAATCAGCCCATGGAACAACAGGCTCGAAACTTTTTCCCACAGAATAATACGGCGTAAAATACGAGAAGTTCCAGCGCGCCTTTTTCCACCAACCATTGAGAGGTTTTTTTGGGTTTCTATTTATAGACTGTCAAAACCTCATGCTGTGGAACAACAGGAGCCAGAAAAACCGCTAAGAATAAAACGGAATGCATGGGCGGCCGGGCTTGGTCCCCCTGGCTGATCCAATCAGTCAGGCGATGGGATCATGATCTGAGCTGGGTTGAACTTGGTCACTACTACTCCGTACTACTAAGTCTACCTACTGGTTGGTTGGCCGGTCGGTTGGTCGGGGAGAAAAACTATCATGATACAATCTGGGGGGGTTTATTTGTTAATTTTTTTTATTTTTATTTTCAAAATTTTGTTGACGAGTATCAGATCAGATCGGGGAACAGAGAACCCCTCGAGAGGAATGTCACAACCAGGCCACAATTTGAACATGCAACTGGCCAGTCGCATACATACATAGCACAAGGCGACGTGCGAGCTACAGGGTAGCGTATGCAAAACAAACTTTCTTTTCCTAAGATATCATTTATTTTTATTGATTTTTAACATACAATGCACACACGACACAGTAGAGACTCTAGAGGGAAGAATGAAGAAGATCTCTCTCCTCTTTGGATGTTAGATCCCCCCCCACCTTCATCGGCAAATAGTGAATAGGGGATCGCTTGTTCAAAATAGGTAGGTTACCTACCTTTTGTATGGGTATCTCATAAAAAGGTACCTGTCAATACATACATCTTCAACACATCATCAGGAATGAGTAGAATATTTTAAAGATATTAAGTATTTTCTAATAGCTACAAAGAATATATTATTCTAAAAAAAAAAATTTCAAAAAGAAATAAATTATTTTATAATAGCCATAATTTAGTAGCAAATTTACTAGTGATTTTCAAGTTAGTAGTAAAATGTAACTTCTTTGATAACTACTATTAACCTCTGCTCAATAATATCTTACTCATATCAGATCTTGTGTTCAAGATATTAATTCGTTTCATAAGGTATCTTTTATATGGTGAGCTCATACAAAAGATACAAAGTACATTGTGGTGATCATAAGCGTGGTGGTTGAGACGCAACCAAACCACGGATGCGGTGGGGGGAAGCGAGCGAAGGCAAGAAGAATATTCCTCAAGATCGACAACATCGATCCATGGACCGTGAGCCAATAATAGGTCCAGACGCGCGAGCTTTTGTCTTCGCGAGTCAGTTAGTAGAACTTAGGGGGCGAGCGTGCCCCGGGGGGAGGGCGCGGATGGTTCCTTTTCTCACGATGATGAAACTCACTAATAACTGTACTCTTTAACGGGAAGTAGAATTCTGTACCTCGGTGCTCTTTAACAACTATCCTACTATCTTCGCAACAAAAAGGTTAACTGCTAGCTTTTTGAGGAGTAGTGGACATTCTTCGGCGTTGGAGAGAGAGGAATCCGGTTGGAACCGAGAATCTGGATAACTAATGATAATGATAATGAGAAATGAGAATGAGAATACGATGCGAGATATTTATTGGAAACCGAGGGAAAGAGAGGGTTTTACAGAACTTTGAATGGCATTGACATTGACATTATTGGCGACGGCAACAAAGTTTGCCTGGCCGGCTGGTGGCTCAAATGTAGAAGCAAGAAGAAGAAAAGAAAACAGATGGCGAAAATTTTGATAGGATAACCAACAACCATCAGACGAGGAGGGGAGTTATTCCTCTCTCCTCCTCCCTCAATCTGCAAAATATATGCACATCTACCTAGTCAATCCAGAAAAGAGTTGAGTTGAAGAGTCAGTCTGTTTTATCTACCTATCTACTCCATCAAATTCCCCCCTCTTGATCAGAGGGGGCGTCCATGGAATGAATGAACAAAGCAAGCCAATGGCTGTATACATACATTATCCATCATCAAGATGACAACTCATGGATATTTTGACTTTTATCTCCATCTCAACGAATTCAACAATGGAACGGCTCAATTTAAAAAAAAAAAAAAAAAAAAATTCTCTTGCTCTGTATTACCATACCATACCAAATCCAAGGGGATTATATCCACTTTCAAAAAAAAAATTTAAATAAAAACAAGAGGAAACAACATCCTCACGCCGTGGCTGTTAACTTACGAGTTACTGCTGGACGCAGAGCTTGCTTCCTAAGTAGTTGATAATGATAAATAATAGAACTATCTATGTATGACCCGTCTGACCAAGAAGTGGCCGACATATCACGTTCGCAGCCACCAACCAACTCTACGGAGTACGCTGGAAGAATAATTAATAATAATAATGAGAACCTGGTGGACATGAAAGCATCTCCCAATCACCCCTTTATCAACCAACCCCAACCCGAGGGAAAAAGCTTCGGCTGGTGGAAAGCTTGTTTTGTGTGTGTTGGTTTTGGCTTTTTTGGATTAGCTAGTTTCTAAATATAGACAAAGTTTAATTAGCCCTTTTCTTTTTTATTATTTTGCTTTTCTTTTCTTTTCTTTCCTTTTTTTATTTATTTATTTTTTTTTTTCCCCCGCGGCGCTCAAGCCTCCAACCAACCAGAGACCACAGAAAAGGTGCATAAATCTAACTGTTTTCCGGGGCCACTATCCGAACTCGTGGGATACGTCGTTGAGTTAACTTATGGGTTTGGGTTTGTGTAAAGTATGTTATGTATGCCCTTACCTAGATACTCTGGCTAGCCCGCAGGGAGGGGTGCAGAACAGGAATTGCTCTGGAAGACTAATTTTTTGATTGCTGGTGTGAAGGCGCTGACGGGTAAAAGAATATATGATATAGGTATGATATCAACGACTATCACTACCTCTGTACATCGGAAGAATTTCTTCAGGCAATGGCTGCTGTGTTATCTTCCCCAGCCATGGCTTCCTAATATTTTTTATTTTTTATTTTTATTTTTATTTTTATTTTTCATGCGGCTAGAACTTCTTCTCCACAATAGACGGAAATCGACGGGATGCTGGTTTCCATGTTCTTTTCTTCTCTTTGACTTGTCCTCCTCCTCCTTTCCCCCCGGCCGTCTTTGCCATCATCCTTTAGCTGGCTTTGTCCCGCTAACTAGCCTGGGTTTGTATGTAGGAGTAACTAGTTGGAATTTGATAGTTTGGTGGGGAACCTTCATGCAAGTGCTTTCTGGAAAGAAGCCAACGCCAATGCCCCCTGTCCAATGCCCCATATCTACTCCGTACTGTGTATTCTCTGCATGACATTGTAGAATTATTCTTATAGGGGGCTACTGTACAGTAAACACGGAGAAGAGCTGAAGGGCTATGTACGTACATGTACTGTACATGTACATACCATACTACTGCGTAGAGCTCACTCAAATCTTTCCCTCCCTGTTATTATTCCATGCAGCGATAAAAGGGGGTGAATATGTACTGTAATTCGTGGCGGAGCTCTCCTAGCCGCGTCAGAGCATCATCATCAGTCGGAGCTTCCCAGGGCGATAGAAAGGAGCTAATTAGGAGGCCTATCCTATCATACCTCCTAGTTAAACCGTACGCATGTTACGGGATGTATGTCTTCTCTAGACAATTTCTACCCAGAACGAATTGGATTGGGGAACTTTCAACCTTCCTGTTACATGTGCTAAGGACGAGCTGTGATCAAACTCAGGCAAGAGTTGTTTTTTTCTTCTTTTTCTTTTTCTTAAAAAAAAAAAAAAAAAAAAAGGGTTTAGAGTTTTCGATACAATAACCCCTGAGGACATCATGAAATGGAGTCAAAAGAATTTTTGTATGTATTTTAAACATCTTGCTATGTAAACGCCTCCACTCACCGCCCAGAAGCCACAATCAATGCACGAGACCCTCATGAAGCCATAACAAGGAGCAAATATATACTCCGTATGTAAATAGCACAGCGTGCGGATGAGAGAGACTCATCATATGATGCATAGGTCGCAACGCCCAAACCCAAACCCAAAAACCCCACGCTCTCAACTCACTCATGGCCCAATGGCTGGCTCCAACACAACCAGTAACTAAGCTGGAACGCCACAGGCAGCAAAGAGGGAGACAAGTACTCCGTACAGATTATCGCACGTTCGTTCTCTTGTAATAATTTATTATTTACTTGCCGTAGCCTAAGTGGAAGAAGGGAGGATTCTAAAATTATCCCATTGTGCATATGATGTCTCTCTTATCATAAACTTTTCAGACGATACTCCGTACAGAAGACTCGTTATGTACGCATAGTAAGTAGTAAGTTAGTGGTTTAGCTAGTTGAAGAATATGCTGGCCCTTGCGTTGAAATCATCATGGGTTCTGTGGGAATCTAAGTTAGCCACCGCTCATCCCCCCCCCCCCCCCCCCACACTCATACACTCTGAGTGTTCTCCCAACCCGCCCATTTCTTCCTCGAGAAGTGCTTTCCCCATGAATATGCAGATATACGGATTGGCGATTGGGCGTGTATAAGCTTTGCTGTAGGGGGAATCCACCCACAGCGGGTAGGAGTTGGAGTTAGTTACTCAGGGGCGTTTCATCAGCCTCTGCCACGTAGGAAATAGGCATCAAAGCTCCACGGGTTTGTTCTGGGGACGTGAATGAAGAGACAAGGGGTAAGGGGGTAAGGGGCAAGCCGAACTCCCTTGGAACTAGTGGCTTGAAGGTTTGAGCCGTGATGTTTTTGAGCAAAGCCAGGGGGCAGTACATATGACATACGATTCTCCCTAGTATGGTGTAGGATAGCTCGGATGATTTCTCCAGGAAGATTGGCGGTAAAGGAGGCAGAAGGATTGTTGTTGGACGCAGCGCCACAGGGGGGAATATCATGCTGAGATCAACATGAACTATATTTAGATAAGCTATGTGTCCAGCCAAGGTGGTTGCTGGCGATCATCTTCAAGCGCCCGACGGGGCTTTGTCTTATACTCCTCACCGCTGGATGGGGAGCGTGGTGGAAGAACAAATCATTCACTAATATGACTGGAGGTGGCAGGCAATTGATAGGAGCCCAGAGGAGAAAAGGGGTAATTAAAGGATCTCGCAGCACACCAAAGCCGTCCTTTGCTAGCTTTCCCCTCGGATAAGGAAAAACCGGTATAGGATTTCTGCCGATGACGGACATGCATGTAAACCAGTCAGTCTAATCGTCCGTGATGATGCAGTCCGATCCCCGTAGGATCTTCTGAGACACATAGAGCGGCTCATGCACGCGCAGCACAGCCAAGGAGCTTAACCACCCGAGTACAGCTCTACATCGGATAGGATAGCTTCACTTAGCTTAGTTGCTGCTGGGTCGCAGAATAGAAATTTCGGCTTGGGCATCTCTCAAGGACTTTTGTCTATGGCTCCTTGAGCTAGGAGGAAACACAATAATGGTGGGTCTAATGGGAGTGATTGACGAGAACTAATAATTACCGAGCATATTAGCAATAACTCCAGCTATCTCTGAAGGGATGGTTGAGATACGGTATTTCTCCGGCAACAACTGATAGAGATATAAATAGAAACTGAAACTGAAACTGAAACAAAAGCATTGAAGGATTGGAACTGGACCGTCAGGGCCTTCAGTGAGGATCTTCTTCGTGGACGAATCAGGCGGAAGGGAAAGCTTAAAAGCAAGTAGCGTGCAGTGTGTAGCGATTTTCATATTCATGCCAGTCCGGATAAGGTTTTTCCATGTAGGAAACTTGCACATGCGAGAACAGGAGGATTTACCGCCTTTGAATCTCTATTTTCACTGTTTCTAGGTTCGGGATATTCACGCAAAATATTCCATAGCGGAAGTGTAGGTAGGAAGGAGAAAGAATGATGCCGAAGAGACTTCCAGAATCCCGATACTGATGCATGAACCCCATGATCCCCACCACCAACCCTTTGAACGAGGTTTCCTGGCATCATTGGCATCATCCGCCATTCTTTCAAGCGCGGAGAGGCACAGAATACCCCAGAAAATGGGGGAAAGAACACACCCAAAGCTATCCGAGGTGGTAGGCTTATGTGCTGGCTGAGATCCAAAAATTTTGTATTGGTGAGCCAGCTGACGGAGATAGGAATAAGAAACAGACTACTCTTATCTCACTCGGTAGTTCCCAAGAAATGGTCACCCTCCCTTCCGCGTATCAAATGCTCCGTGAGACATGGCCGCTCTCAGCTTAATGCGCCAATATATGGCAACAGTAGGCAGAACCATCCCTGCCCACAGTCAGTAAGACTGGGGAAAGCTGAAGTACTCGTCGGTTTCCTCGGCTTTTGCCGACGACAGAGCCGGCGTGCGGAACGCGCGAGCCCCCTGGCTGAGACGGGAGCTACGCAGCCCAGGTTCCATGTCAGTGTCTCACTATAGAAGTTTTGCAGCACCGTTTGAGCCCCACGAGGTCCCGAGGGTATTGGTTCTTTTCCAGTAAAAGTCTGCTGAAGAGACAGAAATAGAAAATGGAACGTAAGCCAATCAGGGCTTGAACAGAACCTACAACTCTCAGACAAACTCCGCTCGCAGCGCATCTCGTTATCGCATTCTAATTTGTGGACTCACCACAACGGGTATCACAGAAAATAAGCCAAAAAGAAAGAAAAAGAAAAAGAAAAAGAAAAAGGTCATAAAACAACAATAAGATTTACAGATATTAAAGCACGGAGTGAAGAAATAGAGAAAGGAAAGAGGATAAAATCCCCCATTGTGTCAGAATAATACTACCCCATGTTGTTTGTGTGGTGAGTGCCGGCAGCTTGGGCGAAAGAGCAAAGAAGAGCCGCTAAATTGGCGCCTGGGCATGTTTCTATTCATAGCACCAGATCCCAAACCAACCCACCCCACCAGCGTGGGCGACATGAGCGCGTGCATGGAAGATGCATCAGGGCACAGTAGCGCTAGAGCTCGAATCGGTGATGACGGAATTGATTGATTGCTCGATTTATGGTAGTTAAGGCAAGGTTGAGATGGTCTGCTGTGACGTGGCAGAAGCAGGAAACAAACTGCTGCAGGTTTAGCTACCTTATCTTGTCAATCAGGGCCTTCGATCTGGCGGAATCGAACTTTGTCCCAAGTTAAAACGACTCGAAGCGTGATTTCCCTGTTCAATCTCTAGTGTCATGAAGTGAATGCAGACGGATAGGTGAGAGAGATGGCGTTATACGAGATCGGGCGAGATCTGAAGGAAGGCCGGTGAGCTCAGCTTCATTTTACTTTGGGCTAGGCCTGCGAGTATATTTTGTTTCCAAATCTGTCAAATTGCGGGGTTACATTTCTAACATCTTCCCAAGAGGCACTAGGGCGGGTTTACAATCACTTGTATGTACTGTACATGTACAACATGAGCAATATGTGATTGCGCCAGTGAGAGTGCGGTATCAAGGAACCTCTTATTAACCCGGGTTACAGTCGTTGACATAATTGGGCTCTTACCAGTCCAGAGGAGATAACTATCTTCCTCAATGTATGACCCCTTGTCGTCTCTAGCCCTTAATGAGTCAGAGCCATCCATACCTAGTCTTTATTTCCTTAGAACCACGCTCTAAGGTTGGAGATTGTCTGCTGGTTTTCTCCGCAGCTTACATACCGGCTTGGTTGAACTCAAAGGGCTGACGATGTGATAATAGCTGCTTCAGTTTTTGTTCTTGTTCTTTTGGCGATCAAGGCTTGATAGCCCGTCTTCTGGAAAAATCTATTCCAAACGTGTTAAACCTGGCATATGCAAACGTCATGGAAATAATTGAACCTGCCCGGCTCGATTATTGCTCGTCCTGGCGACCTGCATTTTGAATCTTTGCCACTACTCGATTTCTGCGCTGGTCTAGAAGCAAAGGAGATTCGCGAACACTCTCCCTTTCCTTCTCGAAATCAAGCACAGTTCAATTGTACGCGGACACTACGTCGGACAGTTTCCGATTCAAATCAGTGACTTTCCATGACCTTCATTAAATTTCCATGGATGAATGATGCGCAAAATCAAACCATTCATATCTTCCACCTTTTTCTCTTTTGACAGCGCGATGAAATTGATTATCCCATACCGTTGTATGGGAAGCGCCTTTTCCTTACTACTCTTGTGAAATGTCCCCTTTTTTTTCCCTTGCATGACGGGGAATCAAATCTCCTGCTCTCACATTTTTATCAGCGAAATATACCAAATATATGATATTATTACAATACGCTCCAAATCCCTTACCTGAAAGTTATGCCAAAGTATCGCCTCCTACCTCCCCTATGCAGGCAGGAGCTACAACAGCTCGTTTTTCTAGCATGGATGGAATTCATCACCTCTAACTGCTATATGTTAAGCCGGAAGGCTCATAGATATTAGGCGCTAAAATAGCACAATTCTATATTTTCACACCCGTGATATTTGTGAGCTTTCCTGCTCCTCCTTCTCTCCAGATAACTCCCTATATACCCACGTCTCCTTAGCGAGCTCTATGCATTAATAGAAGTACATTCTCATCCGCTGCGGAATGATGTTACGTAAAGGATAAATGACAAATCCATGAAATGGAGGTGGTTTTATCTCCTGGATATAAAGTGCTTTCCCCCTTCATTTCCTCCTTCAGCAAATGAAGTATACCGATGAGGACGATGAGGACGATGACTATCCAGCTATTAGCACGAAATTATTGGTGCCTCTTATCGCCAAACAGGTCACTGCGGTCCGCGATGCCTATTCAGTCTCTCGTGTGTGTTAAGGCTGTAAAGGGGACGAAATGGACAATCATCGATGGTGGATTCAATGGACTGGGTTTGGAGTGTGTGTGAGTACCCAGTCAAAGGCAGTCCGTTGTTTGGCTACAGCATGCATGCCATGCAGCCTCTTGGGATAAGACTGAGTATCCGGGCAGGCAGGTCTGCTCTGCAGGGAATGGATGCATTTGATTCTCCATTACCATAACGAGCGGTTATGCCTGTGTTTGAATGATACTGATGTTTCGGAACGAACGACCACTTCCGTACGATCTTCTCTGTAAGTGCGACCCTACTCTCACAATATCACACTGCCTAACATAGCATTTATACTGTTCATAACCAATTTAGCTAGCTGAATATATAACTATTCCAAATCTACAAACTTAGGAAATTGAAAAATAATTTTAGAAGCTGAAATTGAAATAAGAATTTCATGGCTTACCGTCTATCGTGTCTAGCCATTCAGGGGGCTAATTAATGAATCAAGTAAACGAAATATACCCTCTTGAAGGAGAAATGTTTTGTAAATCTTTAATTGGTTACAACTTACTATCGCCGCTATTCGCAATCTCAATGACCAACTTGCCAAACTGGGTGCCATTCTTCATGTCATCGAATAATCCATCAATGGCCTTAATATTATCGATCCCCTGCACTACACGGGAAATAATAGGCTTTATCTTGTGCTCGTTGACGAAACGGACCATGTCACTGAACTCTTTCCGGGAGCCCATGGTTGAGCCTTTGACATCGATGTTCTTAAGGAAGGTGGGCGTGGTGAAGGGCATTTTGGGTGATACTGTCATTCCGTATACGGAGAGGATGCCGCCGGCCTGTGATGGGTGGATTAGCGAACTTGCCAGACAAATAGTGTATTGAACAGACAGACGGCGCTCCAGGGGATCAAGATATCTATTCAAATACAAAAATAACATCCAGTCACGTACCTTGAGCAACTTCACCCCTTTCTCAATCGAATCCCCTCCAGCCCCATCAATAATCGCATCATAATTCCTCTTCCCAGCAGGCAACAATTTCAACGCCTTCTTCTCCCACTCCCGCTCCTTATAATTCACGCCCCCCTTCGCCCCCAGCCCAACAGCCAGCCTCAACTTCTCTTCACTCGAGCTTGTCACAACCACATGCACACCTCTCGCCACAGCAAACCTCAGCGCCATCAGCGCAACCCCGCCCCCAATCCCCGTAATCAGGATCGCAGCGCCCTGACTCGAATTCTTCGCCCCGGCTTTGGTCACCAGGGCCCGCCACGCCGTCAGACCCGTCAGCGGCAGCGCCGCCGCCTCCACATCCGTCAGGTGCGCAGGCGCCTCTTCAACCTCGCCCACGTCAATGGTGACATATTCCTGCAGGGTGCCCCTGCTGTTAAGTTTCGTGCCGCCCATGATCGCGTAGCCGGTGGGGGACTCGGGCCCTTCCTCGGAATCCTGCCACCCGGTCCCCGGGTTCAGGATCACGCGCTTTTGGAGCCATGCGTGTGGCTCCTTTACGGCTGGGCCTGCGGAGACGACGGTGCCGACGCCGTCGGCTAGGAGGGGAACGCCGGCTGTTACGCCTGGGTATAGGTGTTGGCGGATGAAGAGGTCTCGGTGGTTAAGGGCCGCGGCGGTCAGCTTTATGAGGAGCTCGCTGCCTTGTGGAGTTGGGATGGGGACTTTGTTGAGTGAGAGGGGGTAGTAAACTTGGCCCGGCTTGCCGGGCTTGCCGTCGATGAAGTCAATGGTGACCGCTTGCATGGTTGGTTTTAAGGTCAATTGGCCGTTTTTGAGGGGGGTTGAGATTTGGATGGAATGATAGTCCTTCTTCTCGATATAGCAATCAATTATATCCAATGGGGCTATTATCTACTTGGGACGAAAGAGGATTTTAAATTCCCTTCCTCGTGATTCGAATTCCAATTGCCCTGGAAGAACTGGGTCAGTGACACAGCGGTATGGTATTATAAATTAGGGTAGAGAATAGACGTATGTCTGTACAAACCAACCCTCAAGGCAAGATGTTATGTTGATACCTAATAATGATATTCATTATTCTTCAAGTTTGCTGGCGTTGGCCCCGATCAATGATCATGTATGTCTTGCCGACAGAATTGGGGGGGTATTTAAGATGTTTGTTTACCCGAGAGTTTAACCGGGCATTCCTGCTCCCTCGGCAATGACACAATGCAGGGGGAATCCAACTGCATATTTTCCCCAATTGTTCAACATCGATCGATTTGGAATTCAATGGTTGAAGAGTTGGAGGAGGTGCGGTTTCATTCGCATGCGCAAATCGCCCTCCTTTCAATTTTACATAAGTTCATCCCAAAAGCTTACGTTGGTAGATTTACTTTTCCCAGTGACTTTTGTTTGCTAGTTCGGCATCAACTTTTCTCTCGAACTCAAATGCACACTGTACTATGTTTAAACTCAGCCTTATTGAAACTGTTGTTGGGATCCAAAAGATTTAGTGATTTTTGATGAGTGCTGCTGATTTCAGTAATAGCATCATGCATCCCTTCATCTTAACATTGGCTTGGAGTAAAAGCTCCCTGTGACGATTTACTACTGTACACTTTTGTGACAACCAGATCATGTCTCAACAGGTCTCTGTAGTGATTGGTTGTCATTTAACTACCTCTATCCTTTGTATACATAAATATATCAATTTCGCACAAAAAAAACATACAATTTCCACAGCCCAGACCCGCTCAGAAATTTTAAAACACCAGCTTCGCCGCATTGGCAGTCAGCCCCAGCAGCACAAACGACGACGAAAGAAAGACCAGGAACCGCGTTGTGATATTGTTCTTCGACACCTGCACCAAACTATGAATAACCCGTAGCCCGACATAAGACCACGCCAGGGCGACGTCCATCTTGCTCCCCTTGCGCTCATGCATGAACGCAATCGCCAGGGTGACGGCGTAGAACTGCGTCGGCTGCTCCATGAGGTGGTTGTAGTTGTCCGCGACCCAGCGGACGGAGGGCGGAAATTTGGCGGAGAATTGCTCCTTGGGCGCGTTCGGGTCCATGGCGATTTTGTATTTGGCGATGGCTGGGATGCGTTTGGCGTACATCCAGCCTTCCATGACGAAGGTCCAGAGATTGAGGGCGATGACGGGGCCGAAGACGCCGGGTTCCTTGATCGCGGACATTTTGATTGGTGTTTTCTTTTCTTTTCTTTTCTTTTTAGTCTGTCTTTTTTGTAGGGGTTGGAAGGAGTATTCGAGTCTGCAGCGGTGGAAGAGGAACTGAGGGATACGGCGATTATGCAATTGAGTTTAATGGACTGAATATTTCACAGCAAAGTGTCTTGATGAAGCTGCAGTATGTATCACAAGATTGCGGAATTGGAAGACTGGGGTAAGTGAACAGTATATGAGGATGGTGGTTGCAGCGACCAAAAATCCTCGGGCTGTCATCTAAATATCAAATACGAAGTTAGAGTAACATGTGAGGCAGGTATTGTGGCGGACATATTACTTGCGAAAACAGAATTTTCCCAGCCCCCCCTGAAAATTAGTAGCAAAACACCACCAAAAAATCAAAATATTCATGTTTCTCTAGAATCATTCAATATCATTCAATACATGTCTTTTTCAATCAAATATCATCCAAATACGCGTCTTTCTTACCTTTATCATCAATATGCCACCTCAACTCTGTGATTTCATCATCAATGAGATTGTACACCTTCTTAAGAATGATTATATATCTGCTAAGATCATGTGAAGTATTGATTGTTATCTGACTACTGTATATTGAATTCAATGAAATCTTCACTGCTTTGAAACTGCTAGAGGATCTCATTCAATACACAGTGTAAAGTCAAAGATCACATCAGATATCTTGTCAGAATTAAAGAATTTTTTCAAGATATATTCAACTGCATATCATGATAAGACTGTCTGCTTTGTGAAGAATGAATTTGACATTAATATTCACTCACAGTTAATATCTAGAGTATTGAAGAAACTGAATTTAATATAAAAGAAGATGATTAATATTATAATTAAATATTATTTAATATATAGAACCTACTAATTCATTAGTTCTATAATATAGATTGAACTCATAGTCACTTAATATAATAAAGAACTTCAAGCTGAATAATATATTTAACTCACTCAGTATCTCTCTGATCAACTGATCTTTTTGAATAAGAGTACTGTAAATAAATATACAGTGAATCAACAATATAAATAATTAAACAGAGAATTCTCTTATCATATTAGAAGACTCTATAAATAATCTTGAAGATAATCAATCTTATCTGTAATAACTGTTAGTGAATATATTAATTATGATATATATCAGAGATTCTATAATACAGAGAGGTTTAATAAGTTTGTATATATTCAGATACTGCTTAAATATTAATAAGATTATCACTACTTAGTGATGAATAATTATAATACTCATCAATCTCAAGAATTGAAGAATCTTTGCAGAGATGTAGATATTAAACTATTATTCTTATTATTATATTCATCTGACTATAATTCTATAGAGAAGTCTTTTCACACATTGAAGAAATAAATTAGAAGATATAGAGATCAGTTAGATACTCAGTTTAATAAAGATTTTAAAGCTTTTTTATATTATACAGTTGAGAACTTTATAGAAGAAAAAGATATAAAAGAATATTTCAGATCTGCTTATATAGAATAGTATTATAATAATCAGAAAGATTCAGATTACAATTTATTCAACTATAATACAGATTTAGAGATTAAAGCAGTATGAGATCTACTCTCATCACTATAAGCAGTTAATAGAGATGATTTAAATTTCTGCAATCTTGTCTGCTATAATGAACTTTTTAATTTATCTCTTATAATTTAAAATATATTCTTCTCAATATTTATATTAAGTAACTGTTCTCTTGTCAACATCTGTAGATAATTCAATTCAAATTCTTTCTTCTAAAGAATAAACTTGATATCTAATAAATTAGAAGCTTTATTAGGTCTTCAGATTGTCAATTATTTAAAGTATTCATCAAAGAATAAATCTGCTTATTCATTAAATTGAGATATTGAACTGCTTTGAATTGAAGATAAATTTGATGAAGTTAACAGTGAAATCAATGAAGAGTTCAATAGCAGATTTAATAAAGAATTTGATAGTAAATTCAATGAAGAATTTAACAGCAGATTCAATGAAGAATTTGATAAAGAATTCAACAGTGAATTCAATGAAGAATTTAATGAAAGATTTAATAGCAGATCTGAATGTGAATAATAATATAGTTATGAATTCAGTTCTTCTATTTCTTTCATTATATATTTCATCATCATCACATTGATTATCTCACTTGAAAATGTCATATTTAATGAAGTTGAAGCTGCTGAAGCTCAAGAAGAAAATATAACTACTGATAATTGAGAAGTCTGTATAGAAGAATTGAATATAGAAGTTATAGATTTATTCTTCTAATTCTTCTTCTTCTTTCTACTTATTAATCATTTTATCATCTTTCTTAAAGAAGTCTCAACTATTGCTTTATCACATTTAATATTATCTATTCAACTTACAATCTCACTACTCAGAAGTTGAATATGAGTATTATTATATACTATTCAGCAAGTACTCTGCTCAAAGTTATAATAATTCATCTTTTGATAATATTACTGAGCAGTTATCTCATGTTCAATCTACAAAGAATCTTATTTCTTTAATTATCAATTTCAAATCTTCTTCAGTTATTGACTAATAGCTGTGATTCTTGAATGTGTAGATGACTTTTCATTATCAGATATTTCATGAATTCAAGAGAATTTAACAGAACAGTGATAAGAATTGTAGAATGATAAGATTATTTCTTCTTTGATATCAAGAGCTCTTTTTAATGTCAATGTCTGAGTTGCTAATTATAAATCTGATACTTTAATAAAAGCTGCAGAACTGTGTATTACAGATGTATTTAAAAATAATATTAAGATATTAAGAAGATTGAAAGAAGAGATGACTTCAATGATAAGATCACTCATCTTCTTCTTATATAACTTCTTTAAAAGATCAATTATCTTCTTTCAATTCTTCTTCTTCTCAATGATGATTTTGTTAATCTGAAATTCACATTTATATGATATAATAACAGCTGTATAATCTATAACTTTCATCTTCTTACAGATCTGTTTTATAATATACTTCTCAGTCATCTTTTCTACAGTATATTGAATATGAAAGAAGCTGATAGTTGAATCATTTACTGAGACAGTTCAGTATTTGATCTTGACAGAATTCTTTATCTTATTGATAATCACTTATTCATACAATCTGTATGAGATGTCAGGCTCAGGTGTAGAGATTTGTAGATATCAAGAATTCTCAGACTGAGTCTCTATATTCTTCTCATTCACCTGCTTCTTCATCTCATCATTGACTGAATCCTCTCCATTATCCAGAACTTCTGGAACAGGTAGTTTGAGGAGACTGAGACACAGGGTAGAAGTCTTTGTACAGGCTTGTGAAGCAGCAGAATGACGGGTGTTGTGAGGCATATTGAAAAAAGAGTTGATTGATATATGTGAATTTGATGATAAAGATAAGAAAGACGCGTATTTGAATGATATTTGATTGAAAAAGATGTGTATTGAATGATATTGAATGATTCTAGAGAAATGTGGATATTTTGATTTTTTGGTGGTGTTTTGCTACTAATTTTCAGGGGGGGCTGGGAAAATTCTGTTTTCACAAGTAATATGTCCGCCACAATATTTGAGGCCGGCGGCTTTCAACTCCGCCTTTTATCCCCGGGCTGCGGTGCATCGATGCTGCCGATTTGCCGCCAACATAACATAACATCACATACATAACATAGGAAGGTCGGGCAGATGGATTTGTCATCAGCAAATGCTGCGAGTTGGAAGTCGAAAGTTTATTTTGACATGGGGATATTTTAGGCAAACGGGATGGCGATGGCTATTTTTGCTTTTTGTGCATGTTCTGCATGTTCTGCAGGAAGGTTCAATGTTGTTCAACAAATGCCCTAGAAGGGTAGTTAAGGCTAGGACAGGGGAAGCATTAAATATCTGTTATCTAAATACTCCAATATGCTCGCTCTGTCGCGGCTGGATCTCAGCGACATTGACGCCTGAACCGCCGGTTTAAATCATCATACCGCGTCATTTAACTCTTGCTAAAGATGAGAGGTGTTCTAGTTATCTGAGGATAAGGAGTGAAAGTTATATTTAGTGTCAGACATTCCCATAACTAACCCCTCTCGTACATACTTCCATTTTTCCCTCTGCGCAGTAGACACACTCGAGACCTAGGCAATGAATCCCAGTTGCCTCCTGCTATCGACATTTCACCCCCCGGACATGGTTAACATGTATGTGGGCACGAGGTACAGTGTGCGGTTTCCAACGCGTTGAGGGAGGGGGGAGCCCGTTTGCATCCAGAGAATGAAAATATTTTGATGTTTCCTGAGCACGTTCTTATGCGGTGACGCGGACCCAATACAGCTGTGGTGCCCTAAACTAAGATATACATAATCTGTCCACGTACGTCTAGCGGAAGCCCATCGCAAACGGAATTAGCAGGGAGACGAGGCAGTTGAATCTAGATGGTATAAAATGAAGCTGGGCTTCAGTTTCAGGTCCTTTATCTACTGTACCTCCCCTACTTTGCGTGCGTTATTCCGTTTTCTTTTTGCTGCTATCCACCGGGTTGAGTATATGGAGACGTATAATTTTTACTAGGGTGCAGATTTTAAGGAGAATCTGTTTGGCCTAAGGGTGGAGGGATTAGTAGTTACGTGCAGAGCTCGTATACCTTGTTTAGAATGAAAACGGATAGGTGAGATGCTTATGTTGAGATAGGATGAAGTATTTAAGTAGGCAAGAGAATGGGCTTTGCTTTCCATTTCTTTATTATTTTCTTACAATTTTACCTGAACGCAGTCGGACTTCGAAAAGGGCCAGGTGGCTAGTGGTCTGGAGATAGCAAGATTACGAGAGGAAATCTGACAAAAAGACAAGGAGAGCAAAGCAGAGCAAGGGGAAAAAAAAAAAAAACCTATTCTCGATACTGATACAGCCTCTTCATAGACTCGCTAGATCCATCTCTAGCACGAGAGTTACCATCACCGTTTCCACTAGGACTTTGATCCATCTGTCGACCCCGTCGTGGTTGTCCTCGTTGTCGCCGATGCCGAGCCATGTATTCAGCGACCAGTGCCTCATCGGCAAACTCACGCTGCAAGATACCATCTACGAAGGAGAGGTAGTTATCGTTTCTGCGATGTGTATTTTCGCCCGGGGTATTACGGGAAGGGCTAGTAGTGGCATTATCGAGGTTCAACATCGCGTCGTCGCTGTCTGGGATTTCGTCATCAGTGGTGGTTGTGATATCAGGGTTATCGTTATCAGAGAAGTCTGATGGGAGTGGGTTCATGGTTCGGCGGGGATCTTCATGTCGGCATCGACGACGGGAGCCACCATGAGGATCACGATCATGAGCTTGTGGGTTTTGAATGCATTCGTCTCCCCGTATATGATTTCCTGAATTTGGGCGTCGAATGGGGGAGCATATCAAACAAGTGCAGGAACTCGAATCTGGAAGATCCTCTGTGAGCGAATCAAAGGAGAAGCGCTCCTGACTGCATCTCGCAGACAGGACCCAAGAAAAGTGTTCTTCTTGATGAGTTTCACATTCATCAGATTCAACTTCGGTGATAAACCAACTCGAATCGTTGTCCCGGGTGGGACTAGTAGTCGATGGATTAGAATGTCTAGATTGAGACGCCCTATCGGCTGGATTTGGACGACGTAGTGAAAACCGACCATACTGTCTTTCGTGTTCACGCTCGAAACGGAAGGGCATGGTGTGTTATTTTCAGCACGATGACAGACTAAATTCACAGTCGGAGGTTTTAGGGAGCAACGGCAGGCATTGTTGAACAATGAGGATGCATAAAGAAAAACAAATCAGAAAATTCATACAAGAAAGGGCGTAGATGGGAGCTATAAGCATATATAGCCATTGAGACATTTGCCTTCAAGTAACAGCTAAACATAACAGTGTTTGCTTAATACCATGTAACTGTCTGCCGCCATTTTCTCGACACCGAGCCTGAGAAAGATTGGGAAACATGGAGCATAGTAGAATATTGAGAGTATATCGAAAAGAATATGTGTTGAGCATTGGCAAACATGCCAACAGATAGCTATGTTTTTTATATGGGATAGCTAGGGAGCTGCTCAGGAAACCAGGCAAACATGCTGCTGATTCGATGCAACGTCACGAAGGTTTGCGATGATGATGTTTGACCATGTTTAGCGGGAGGCATTGAGGCTGTATCGTCCTTCTGGAGGGATAACTGCCTATATCACCCGGGAGTCTGTGTCTATCTACAGTTAGAGTAGGCAAGGGGGATGGGTGCGTGGGACTGACTATAGAGTAATTGGGCCACGCAACAAAACTGTTTAACAACCTTGAGATGGTCTGACAGGCAGTTTGAAAAATAGCAGTCCTTCGCAGCTATACAGGTGGGGGTAGTCATCTAATTTTCAGTATACAGAGCCGGAGTACCTGGCAAAACATAGAAGAGGAGATGAATTTCTCCTGGAGGATGTTGATATTAGCCAGAAATATTTGGATGGCGGGTGCGTGGCAACACGGCATACCACGCACTACCCTGATATCCTACTCCCAACAAGGTTCAAGAGACAATTTCGAAGCGAGATATTCAAATGCCTAGAATGGGCAGCCTTGGAGATGCTGTCCTTGGAATGGAGCAGAAAACCCGAAAAGGTTGCGAGTAATAAGAGGTATGGAAAAAAACATGCTCCCTCTCATTCTACGCCCGAAGCTCAAGGGCCTGGAATTTTGAATTCCTGAAAGCTGCAGTCCTTGGTGCTTGGAAATGCTGGCTCTTCTGTCCATGAACCAGCGGATAGATTGCATTCGTCTCATTTCATTTCATTTCATTTCGTTTCTTTGGCACGACTTTCTCGAATGTTTTTCATGTTTGCAACTATGTAATGGGGATAGTTAGTAATCTGTGCTGTGCGGAAGGATTTTCCTGCTTATTTATTTCAAGTCAAAAGAGGAGGCATTATCCTGGTATATTCCTCATTTCGCCTGTTAGCATAAATCCTCTGCACAGTTGAAGTCAAGAGCGTTGCAATCCGTAAGCAGTAACTTTTAGCAACTCTGTAGTGGTAAGTTCGTCGACGTAGTAACTTATGTAAATATGGGGTTTAATAATAATGGTTGGGTTAAGTTATTTAACTAACGCCTCCTAGCCTTTAGAATTTTTACGCAGGGCAGAATTGGCGTGGCTGTAGTTAGGTTCGGCAATACTGCCACGCGCCGCCTGCGATTGGCCTGACCGGCCCTTTTTTTCTCCCTCTCCACCACCACCGCCTCACTCATCGCCCGAAACGAAGAACTTCCAACGTCCACTCTGCTCGATTTCCGCCCGCGTCCCAAACCACCCGTCTTCATCTCCAGCGCCTTGTACACACGAAGCTACGCCACGTATTACCTCCAGCAAGCTCTTCTTCCTCTTACATCTTGAACCATCGTTTTTAACTTCTCTTTACCCCCCGTGCTCGTCGTCTGACAGCTCGCCTTATTTTTTTAATTTGTTCTTCGCCGGTAACCGCGACACACACACCCCCAAAATCCCAAATTCTCCATTGCTGTCTACACGTCTTTTGTAGACGTCTGTGGATAACCAATATCCCAGAGTTAGCTAGTACATCATGCCTTCACCTCTTCCATCGAGTTTTGCCTCTGCGGCAGCTGGTAACGCCCATGATTCTGGTTTAAGAAAAGACGGAATCGGCGGTGGGGAATGGTAAAACATTGCCCTTTTCATTGCTTTTTCCTTCTCTATTTGTTTGATCCCTAGCTGTTATTCTGGCACCTAGTTGTCCCTCTCTCTTTTACTCGAGGAGCTGGCATCATAGATTATCACCCGTCGTGTCTACTAGTTTGTGTGTCTTGTCGTGGGGACAAGGGAGCTAATTTCATATATTTTTCTTTTTTTTTTTTTTCGTGCTAGGTCTCGCACCCGTATGAACGGAGCTACCCAAACCTTCCGCCGTCCGTCCCTTGCAACTAACAATTCTCACACCCGAGAGACCGCGCAAACCACGTCCTCTACCTCTACCCCTCCCGTTGCAGCCTATATTCCCCCCCACCTTAGTTCTAATTATCAGCCCAGCTCCCCGCGTAGCAACCCCAATGATAGCAGGTACTCCAAGGACCAACTTCTAAATCTCTACAAGAGTCAACAGGACCCAGGGAGCTGGGGGAAACATATATCCGATTATTTTATGGCCGACTGGAATCCCCGCGATGAAATCCCCACGTCCGTTAATGGTAGTTGGACTAAACGGGAGGACATGAATGACGGAACCACTGGTCCTGAGGTTTGCTGGGATCATAGCGGACAGGTTCAGCCCTTGGCATTGACTGAAATGAACGATGAAGAAAAAGATGTATGTTGTAACCCGGTGATCGAATGCCTGTACAAATGCTCACTAGAATTTTCTTTGCTAGTTATTTTCTGGCTCTGTCAACTCCCCGCTGAAACCCCCTCCTCAGAGCGGATCAAAGGATGCCTCCGGTGCCGTCAATATCGCCCGTAAGGGATCCGTGTCCCATTCCCAGTCCCATCTTGGATCCTTCAACACGTCATCTCCTGGATCTGCGCGAACTGTCCCGCGACGCCGTGGCACTGGAGATTCTTCAGGAAATCCCATGTCCCCCACGGGTACTTCTCGTTTCTTCCGGGACGATATAACTATATCAACCCCACCACCCTCGCTGCTTCGCCGAAAGACCGATTTCCGAGAAGCAGAAGCAAAACTAGACGAGAGGGATAAGGAAAACAGTGGTCGCGATGCTGACCTTGGTATAAGCTCTCCGTTTGGCACCTTGAAGCGTAGCACCACGGGCCCTATCGGCACAAGTTCAAATGCCTCAACTTCCCCATGGCCATCCTCATCCCACGGTTCAGCATTTTCGCCAATGGGCGCATTTGGCAACTTTTCCCTGGGGCCGATGAGCGGCAGTGCCGGAGCTAGTGACAAAAAGTCCGGCTTCGGTAGCCTGCGGGGGGAAAGTCGGTTCAAGGGTCTGTTGTCTAAGGATAGCTCAGAAGATATTGGATCGAGTATTAAAGAGAAATCGTCTTTATCTGCCCTGGATCGCCTCCCTGAAGTTGAGGATTCGAGTCCGCCACCACCACAACAGCAGCAACCACCGTGGGGAGAAGGCATAAAGACACGTCCGGCTCGCAGTGAGACTAACCCATTTGGTGATGAACCACGGAGCGGAAGTGCGGCGCTTGGTGGCCAGGACCTTGATGCTCCAGCGACTTCAACTTCTGCGCCAGGGATCGATCAGTTTGGCCTCTCCTTCGGAATGGCATCGAGTGGACCCACTTTCCGAGACATCGTAAACCAGCAAAGCCAACCAGCTCAGACTCCCAATCACCATGCCCACGAGCCAATGAGCCCAACCAATACGAACCCCTACCAAAGTCCACATGGCGAGAGGGCCGATACTGACGACATCGACACAGACGGTTCTGATATCCAACATGCCCATCTGCCAGGCCTGAGTGACATCCCTGAAGATCCTGGAATGAGTGGGTTTGGTTCTATCCGTCGAGGTGGGTCGACGGTAGACGCATCAGCGGGTGATCGTAGCCAAACCTCGAGCGTCGGTGCAGGCCGGGGTTTCCCAAATTTGACCGGTCTAGGTGGCATGTCATCACTCGGGTCTGCTGGCGGCTGGCCTACTAGCGCAGCTTCTGGTACTCCCACCCGGGAGCGAACTGGCTTTGGGTCCGGATTCGGCGATCCTATTTTTGGATCAATGGCAGATTTGCAGTCCCCTAGCCTGGCGACTCTTGGTGGAGGTGGCTTTTTTGGATCACATACTAGCCTTCCTAGTGCTAGTCGCACAAGTAAAATGGGATCTCTATTTCCTCCCGCAATGCAGGACCAAATGCGTGGTGAACAAGCACGCCCGGATTCCACTGGAATTGAAAGTTCGATGAGGCAGCAGGGTGATAACAGGAATGTTTCCAGTACCAGCCCCTTTGACACTGGCATTACGAGGAGAGACACTGACCAAGCTACTCGTTCTGGCGGTCTCTTCTCTCCCCTTGGTGGCATTGACCTTGGAAGAGAGGCCTTTTTATCCGGCGATAAACCTGGCCCGGGAAGTCAACCCATTTCGGTTCCATCTTCCCAGCCCCCTGCACCATCCACCACCGCACAAAGTTCAATTCCACCTTCCCAATCCTCTGCGGACGGCACTTCCCAGCCTGGTCAAAGCCATTCCAGTGCGAGTTCATCAAACACCCAGCTTCCAACATCGCAACAGCGACAAATGGTGATGCCAGATCGCATGCGCTGGATCTATCGCGACCCCCAAGGCAACACCCAAGGGCCGTGGTCTGGACTCGAGATGCACGATTGGTTCAAAGCAGGTTTCTTTACCGCAGAACTTCAAGTGAAGAAGTTAGAGGATGCGGAGTATGAACCACTTGCTCAACTTGTTCGGCGTATAGGCAACTCTCGAGAGCCTTTCCTTGTACCCCAGATCGGAGTTGCTCACGGCCCCCCTTCCAATCAAACTGGTCCTTGGGGTGCATCGGCATCTCAATCTGGTGTCGCGCAGCCTCCGTTCCCTACCAGCTTCCCCAGTTTTGGCACAACTCTTACCGCTGACCAGCAAAATGCGCTGGAAAGGAGAAAGCAGGAGGAACAGTATTTGATGGCAAGGCAGAAAGAACATCTTGCCCAGCAACAAGTCCTTATGAAGCAGATGGCCATGCAGAATACTCCTCATACTACCATGCATCCCCAGCTACAACACCACTCCAGCGCCCACAGCCTCCACAGCCAGCCAAGTTTTGGCAGCATCACCTCACCAGGAGGGTACCAGCCATCTCCTATCCAAGGGCCCATCCAACCACCTCAAGCCGTCCCTGGTTATTTCGAACCCGCTATGCGACAACCGAACATGCCCAACGTGCCGCCTCAGATGCTTCCACAGGATATGATGGCTGGCCAGGAAGAGCTCCCAAGTTTGGTTGATCGTTTGAACATCAATCGCCAGTCTCAGTTCCCCTTCAATACCGGCCCTTCTTTTGGGGCAAGGCAACAAGAAAATGTCGCGCAGTCTCAGCAAGTTGCAACCATGCTCCAAGATAGAGCTCGTTTACAGCAGGAACAAGAGCAATTTGACAAAGCCAAGGGAGATTCTATGTTTGACCAACAAGCCCGCGATGAACGTTTGCGGCAGTTTCATGCGCTAAGACGGCAAACAGATGATGACATTGTTAGAAGGACTGAAGGGCTGCCGACACATCCCCCGACAATGCCAGCTGGAGACGAATTTGAGCGCCATGATGACATTTCCAAACCAGGAATGCAACAACCCCCGAAACAGGAACACACTCAGCAACGAGGGCAAGAACCCCTCTCTCTCTCTCAACAGGTACAAAAGGCAGCATCTGCTCAGCGACAGCGACAGCATCAGCAGCAACAGCAAACACAGACTCCAACCGTTCAAACGGAGTCCCCGTGGGTTAAAGTAGATAGCGGTATGCCTCAACCTTTCCCGCCACCACCATCACAGTCCCCCCTCCCGGCTCCTGCTGCACAACGCAATCGACAAAATGTTGCAGATACTCTAGCAGCAAGTTCCAGATCGCAGAACCAGACACCAATTGAGACCCCAACCACGTCAATCGCTCCGTGGGCAAAGGAAACCATCGAGGCACCAAGAGGACCTTCTTTGAAGGAAATCCAAGAAGCCGAAGCTCGCAAAGCCGCTAAACTGGAGGAGGCTGCAGCTGCTGCCAGACGTGCACTTGCAGAACAGGAACGTGCAAATCAACCCCCGGCTCCAGCTCCAGGGCTACCATCAACTGCGAACTGGGCGAGTAGTGGGTCTCCCGCCACACCTCCATCCGCCGCTGGTTCGGTATGGGCGAAGCAGCCTGGAGGCGGAAAACCACAACCTAGTGCAACCGTTTCTGCGCCCAAGAAGACGCTAGCCCAAATCCAGAAGGAGGAGGAGGCTCGCAAACAGCGTCTGACTGTAGTAAACAATCCTCAGGCTGCTGCTGCTGTAAGCTCACCAGTCGCTTCTGCGGGTAAGCGCTATGCCGATCTTGCAAGCAAGGTTGCATCACCAACAGCGCCCGCAGGAGCTTGGACAACAGTTGGAGCTGGTGGAAAGGCAAAACCTCCACCTACCGCACCGGCTGGGCTAAGAACCATTCCTGTGGCCCCCGCGGCGGCAGCAAAACCGAGACCAACCGTCCTCACAAGACCATCCGCGCTGGGTTCGGCTCAGGTTACCAATACAAATAAGCCAGTTGAGGAGCTTATGAAATGGGCTAAGAATGCCTTGGGCAAGGGGCTGAATAGCTCTATCAATGGTACGTCTATATTTCCTGCCCTTTTCACACTAGAACCTTATTGTTCGCCGAAAATATATCCCATAAGCAGACTAACAGAAAATTCAAACTCTCCAGTCGACGATTTCGTCCAACAACTCCTTCTCCTCCCCCCTGAGACAGAAATTATCTCCGACTCAGTCTACGCTAACTCACAAACGCTCGACGGTCGCCGCTTCGCCGAAGAATTCGTCCGTCGCCGCAAACTGGCTGATAAGGGCGTCGTCGACCCCGCATCCCTGAATGCCGGCAGCAATGGGTTCGGCACCGTGCCAGACTCCAATGGCTCTGACGGCTGGAACGAAGTTGCGAAGAAGGGAAGCCAATCTGCTGCCCATCGCGAGGACACGAGTAATGCGCCGTTTAAGGTTGTGGCGGCGAAGAAGAAAGGGAAGCGGTAGATTTGGTTTGTGTCTTGTGTTTGCTACAGCGTTTTTACTTATTAAGATGTTTTACTTATTAAGATGTGAGCGGGTTTGTGTTGTGGTGTGAAATTGATAGGATAACGACAGGATACGATAGGATGGGGAACGTGTTGCCATGCATAAAGCAACTGGAAGGGAAGTTGCTTGGGCTTTGTTTGCAAGAGTCTTTTAGGGTAGCGGAGAGGGGAGGGGGGGAGGGGGGGAGGATGTGTGTTTGCGTGTGTTTGTTAGGTGCAGTGGTTCTTTCTGAGCGTTCCTCTTGCGTACTGTATCCGCATTATAGCCCTCTCCTCCCCTTGCAGCCTCATACTTAAGCTCCTCTATTTTTTTTTAAGCTTCTTAACTTTTGCGATAATTCTCATCGCCGGTCAGCTAGCGACAACTAATAAACCCGATACACTTCCCAGCTAGGTTGTTACGATCAAAACGGTTCCTTAAATGTATCTCCCTTTCTCCCCCTTTTCTTTTTCACAACACCACCCACTATCAGAGTACTCTAAACTCCCCTGTACCGTCTTCCTTACCTTTCGAGTTCCTTCGAAGTTTTGAAATGTCTTCACGCTACTATGTCTCTCTTTTGTAATCACTCTGTTCCCGTACACTTCTTTATCCAAACTATTCGCCTTGCTCATGTTCCTCCTCCCTTGCGCGGTAGGTAACACACGAGGGTTATCTGCAGCCACAAGCAACAACACCTCACGGCGTTGTGTGAGATAGTTCTTTTTCTTTTTTAACAGTTGCTGTTCCTATTACCTAATGTTCCTTCTCTAGCCGCTCTCGCAATCGAATCCCTCGCGCGCTCTCCGGGGGATGTCGCTTTGTTTTGATTTTTAAGTAGAGTTACGAGGTATTGATGAATGCTTCTTGAGTATGATGGGTTTTTCTAACAGTGGTTTTTATTTAGCAGGTGTTCGTTACATCCATAAGAAACCAATGAGCTGTAAGGAATTAACGTTGCATGTATTAGAAAAATATTTTCAATCTCACAGTATAGAGGACTAACCAGCACATCTAGTAATGTTAGAAGCTGAAATTGACATAACAACTTCTCTACCATTGCAATAATACCGTGCTCACCAAATGTCGGTAGGTATCACGCAATATCTCTCTTCCTACATACATCACTACAAGTTAGTATGCGCGCGAAACCTAAACTCGGCATGACGTCCGTCTGAGACATTCATCCAGGTCCAGAAACCCGGCCAGATTTAAGGTTTAAGGTTATAAAAAGGCACCGCCAAAAAACATCTGGGGTCTGGCAAAACTCAGAATTTCCCCAACTGCACATGGCTCACAACTTCAAGAGAATGTCCGTCTATACCCGTCCTCCGATGCAACAAGGTTGAAAGGTCTTTTTTTATCCAACCCTAATTCGCCCACTACGCATAGTAAGCCCCGTGCTCGGCGTAAAAACTAGCCTAGCCTAGACCTGCAATATCGTGACAGGTAGCGGTGGTACGGCACCCCGCCAAGGCATCATCGTCGCTAGGAATCAATTCCCCGAGTAGAGTTTTGGTGCTCGGGAGTCTGTCAGTCTAAATTGTCACGGAGTCACGGAGTCACAGGGCGCGTGGTGGGGGGTTTGGGGCCTTTTTGAGTGTGTCATTGCTGTTGCGGGAAATATATAATAAACGTCAATTCATTAGAGAGGAGGGTTTTGGGGAACGAGCATCTTCCTCCTTTTTTTTTTTTTTTTAAAAAAAAAAAAAAAAAAAAAAAACAAAAAGGGTCAATTGAGCCTATCTTGTTGAGTATAATCAGAAGGCGAGGAAGCAAACACCGTATCATACGTGTCCTTGTTTGGTGAAAAGACTTCTCACTCGCGCCAGGTATGGGCATCAATCTGTATGGTTTTAAATGGTTTATCTTGAAGGACATGGCTAACACTTTCGCTCGGTCTGGGAGCCACTGTGTACGTGAAGGAACATTGATCAGATAAACCTATATCTACAGAGGTATACATATATCTTTAGGAAGACGGAGATTTCGACATCGGATCAACCATGGCCTCTGACAAATTAACCCCCTTTGGGCCTCCGATGCTCAAACATTTCCTCTTCGATCCAAAATATAAGAATTTGAACCACGGTAAGTTAATAGCGATACCTGTACCTCAGTCGTGTGTTATCCGGAACTGCGCGCTGCCTGTGCCAATCAATCCGTCACGTTAGCATTTTGATATCGCTGAGAGTCCATATAGTAGATAGCCGTTGACTAACCAAAAAAATCCCAACAGGATCATATGGAAGTTTTCCCGCGGTAGTCCAGGCTGAGGCCCGGAAATTCCAAGACGAGCTTGAATCCAAGCCGGACTTGTTCATCCGTTACCTGCAACCGAAATACGTCGATGCGGCTAGAAAGGAGGTGGCAAGGCTTCTCAACGTCCCCATGAACGAAGTCGTTTTCACCAAAAATGCCACGACGGGAGTGAATATCGCCCTTCGGAACCTGGTATACGCACCGGGGGACGTCATTGTTTACTTTGCCACTACATACGCTGCATGCGAGAAGACTATTTCATCGTTGATGGAAACTACGCCTGTGCAAGGGCGCAAGGTCACCTATTCATTTCCCACTACCCACGAGGAGATTATGAAGGGTTTTATCGAGGTGGTTAAGAAGGCGAGGAGTGAAGGGTTGAATGTTCGCGTTGCCCTGTTCGATACTATCGTTAGCAACCCGGGCGTGCGATTCCCATTCGAGGACCTCATAGCGGAGTGCAGGAAGGAAGGTATTATGAGCTGCGTGGATGGCGCACATGGAATTGGCCAAATTCCTCTTGATTTGGGAGCGTTGCAGCCTGACTTTTTTGTGAGCAACTGTCATAAGTATGTACCACCTTCCCTCCGATTCCAACACGCATGGATGTTTGTTTTCTTTGAGTGGATATAATCTCACCAAAATCTATTCTCCCATTGCCCTATACAACACACCTCTAACACTTCTTTTAGATGGCTCTACGTCCCCCGCGGTTGCGCAGTCTTCCATGTCCCTATCCGCAACCAGCACCTAATTCGCACAACGCTCCCCACCTCGCATGGTTTCGTCCCCGTCAACATGGAGGTAGATCTCCCAATCCCAAGAGTAGCCGGCAAATCCGCCTTTGAGTTCCAGTTTGAGTTTGTGGCCACGAACGATGATTCGCCATACAACTGTATCCCCGCCGCTGTTAAATTCCGCGAAGAGGTCTGCGGCGGCGAGGAAAAGATCATGTCGTATTGTCAGCAATTGGCGCACGAGGGCGGCAATCTCGTGGCTGAGATACTCGGCACAGACGTCATGAGCGAACCTGGCGTCGATCCCAAGGTGGTAGGCGCCAGTAAGATCCGCCAATGTGCATTCGCCAACGTCCGTTTACCCCTCGCGGTTGATGATGGGAGTGGCCGACATGTCGAGAAGGAATCTCCGTATCCCATTATCAAGGGCAGAGATGCAATGGCTGTTGCTAAATGGATACACGAGAAGTTTATTTATGAGTATAACTCTGCCGCGCCGACATTCCCGCATGGTGGCTGGTTGTGGACACGACTGAGTGCGCAGACTTATCTGGATCTGGAGGACTTTAGGTGGGCTGGGAATGCGTTCAAGGCGTTGGTGGAGAGGGTTGGAAGAGGGGAGGCGTATGCTGAGTTGGGGATTACGGATGTGTCGAATGACTGAATGCGGTACGTCTGGACGGAGGTGAGAAGTGAGGAGGGTTTAGTTTATATATATCCTGTTCTGAAGACGGTATTTGATGCATTTTCGAAATAGCAGAGGAAGTTTGCTTCTGCATGTAAGAGACAGTGTTCTGTTCATCTATCATGATTCTTCGTAGAAAGTTCCGCTCTTGCATGGTGTTACACAACCCTTCAAAACACACAGAGATAGATATTCTTCAACATGTATCCATCCCCCCTCCCTCCCTCGACGAGCTACAAGTACCACCCGCTGTCCCCGATCCACCACCCTCTCATCCTCTCCCCTCCCTAACCTCCACCACCTTCTCGAAAAATTCCCCAACATCTACCGCTCCATCAACATGATAACTCCCCCCAATAACAAAATGCGGCACCCCCTTCACCCCTTCCTCCCTAACCCTCCTCCCCTCCTCCTCAATAACCTCCACCACCCCCCTCCCCGCTCCCTCCCCCGCCAACCACTCCCTAACCTCCCCCTCCCCTAACCCTACTTCCACCGCAGCCCTCACAAGCGTATCGACACAACTAACATCCTCCTCCCTCTCAAACTGATACTGAAACAACATCTCCGAAACTTTACTCTGCATCACCAGCCCCTTTTCCGCCGCGGTGGTGTGCAGGAGTACATGCGCAAGCCGCGAGCTGCCCATGGACCCGCCAAACTTGAAATTGATACCCAGCGCTGCCCCGACGCGTTTTAGGCGGGTTTGGGCTGCCTCGGTCATTTGGGGGCCCATTTTGCGGAGCATGCGGTCTGGATTTGTTTTTTTTTTTTTTTTCCGTAGTTAAGTATTGGGTATAGGTATTTTCAAGGGAGAAATGTGATGGAAAGGAATGTGGGCTATATTGGAGCATCTCTACCTTGTATAAGCACGCTCTCCTTGGGTGGTTCTTGGTCTATGAAGTAGGGTTTCCATGATAGTTGGAATTCATCCTTCGAGCCTCCCGGGTAAGTTTTTTGGTAGAGGGAGATGGCTTTTTGGAGGTCGCGGTAGCCGATGAAGCACTAAACAAAAATTGTTTGGTTATTCGGTAGGCACTATAGTAACTTTTGTTGTAAGGGGTTTTTCACTCACCCAGGGACATATCACATCTGAAATTATATCGATCGTGATTACGGCCATTGTTGCCGGTGAATAGCGTGTCAGGATATTGAGGTGGATGGTTCTGTATGGTATCTCGTGCTCCTGAATCCGACTCTACTCTTCGTTGAACGTTGTTTTGGAGTAAACAGGGCTGTTGATTTCGTTTACCAACTCAGGTCGATAGCTGACAGTCTCTATTTATTTATTTATGTCTAGGCATCCTTCGACAATCTAGCCTCCATCTATCTCTGCTGCCTGCCTCAAGTAATCCCTTTTTTCCTTTCATTAATACTTGAGAGACTTAGGGAAATTTAGATGCAGGCCGGGACGGATCCTCCTCTCCTAGGTTTTTCATCCTCTCGGTAGCATCTCATTCCGCTATCCGCCACTTTCGGAATGCGCTTCTTGTAGCAAGAGAACGAGACAGAGAATGGACGCCGACGAGCATTTTCGGCTCTTACGCCAAGGGAAATAAAATCTCTTCTCGTGGGACTTAGGCACACATATCCCTGATTGACTTCCCCCCACACAAAGGTAAGTATTTAGGAGGCCGAATTAAGCCATACTATTTGTTTAACTATGCCGTAAGTTGGCAGAGGTTCCCGCCTTCAAGACCTCCCGTCCATGTAACAGTACAATGTACCATGATGCAGTAGTAATAATGCATGTATAAGATCTGCTTTCGTTGAGCTTGAAGTTCCGATCTAAATATAGGACATATACTGCGAGTTTTGTTAAAGCTTTAGCCAGTTCCCCCATAGCCGATAATAGTATGGACAGAGGCACAGAAGAAACCAAATTTCTTCCTGATGGGTTCCTCCTACTGGCGGATCGCAATTCCTGCTCTTCCTTCGCCAATCAGGGTTGCTAAGCCCCGTATGTTGATTCGGCGTTGCCGTTCTGGCTGCATTGTTTATTATTGTTTCAAACTTGGTATGAAAACATAAATCCCTCAAAAAGAAGATAAATAAAGGTTCTTCAACCGTCGGAGTGCCAAAGATGAGGTTCTCTATAGAGTATTGTATTGGTGTCTTTCGTTGGTTGGATGATTCTATGTCGTTCCCCAGCCTGGATTATTTGAGCTTCACGAATAGAAGAACTAATAATCAGTTAACCACCGTCTTGATCAACAATTGGCAAGAATCCAAGCGATAGGATTTGAGGAATGAAAACCGCAGTTTATTTAGTTAACCTTTCCATCAACCACCGCTTGTCCCTCCCCTCACTGGCTCAGCATCGTATCCAACACGGCAACATCGCTCAACTCAGCCACAGCCACCCAGCTCATTGAACCAATCCGGCTGCTCTCCGCAGCAGACCGTATTTCTTCTTGTCCGATAGTTAATGACTAAACCACCAAGTTTTCTTCTTTTCTTCTTCGGGTGATCGTGGTCAACCTTGGAAGGCCGGCCTACCACAATGATATATCTCTGGCCGCCATTTTCCTCTCGCAGAGCACAAGAGCTTTGGCTTGTTCCAAATCAAATATTGCTGCGGAACAAACCTGCCATAGTTATCTATAATGACGGGGGGTTCCATACACATTAAGATGTTTTGAAGTGTATTCGTGAACCTCTCCCCATAGAAGTTAATTTGTTGCATTTCTTTTGCCCTTGTTTAGTTCTCAGCGGAATGCGATATTTATGTCCAGCAAGCATGACTTCTGCCCGCCTATTCTTCCTAGTTATTCTGTGTAACACACGCGTATCCGCAGCTAGCGAGGAGGATCTCAATGTATACGGTGGATATGGACCCGACGTCCTCTGCGTTTTCCCCATAAGCGGACCATATAACCTCCTGCAACGAATACTGTTCTATCTGCTTTTGGTATTCGCCGTCCTCTGCCGTCGACAAAAATGGTTGGTCTTCGGCGCCCTCGCCAGTGCAATGTCGTATAGTGGAGCAGCAGCTCTCCACGGCCTCTTGCTGGCCAGCCCCGCCCGAAAAGCCATAGACCTGGACATCTATGGAATTTTCGCGGTAACCTCATCTGGCGCGATGCTCACTGCTCCGTTATTGAATTGGTCGTCGACATTGATATATGCGGAGAAAAGGAAGCGGTGGATTGTGATAATGTGGGGCATGCTTTTGGTGTTGGGTGCGATATTTACTGCATCGTGCATGTATGTAAATGGGGCGGGATTCATCACCCCAGAGTGCATTTCGCGCAGTGATGCGGCTTCATTCGATGGTTCTTTATTCCCCAGTCCTACTGCCGACTGTCTGTACGCTTGCCCGCCTGAAGCTCGGATTTTCCGTCCAAAACATGACGTCGTGGCCCGGCCGAACTATATAAACCGTCCGAGGGATATCACGTCGGTCTTCCTTCCAGCAACAATCATATATATCTTTACCTGGATTGTTGTTGAGATATTATTTCGCACAGTGTGGCGGAATAAAAATACGAATATCCACTTTGCAACAGCCAGCTCAGCATCAGACATAGTCGGTCTTCGTTGGGTGGGCACATGTGTTCACGGTCGGCAGAACACTACAACCGACAAATCCAAAGATGTGTCTGTATCGATCCAGCCATTGCCATCATCACCGTCCTCATCGCTATCCTGGCTACCCGTATCCGGACAGCCTCAACCACAGAGGCCATGGTCTCGCTGGGCCGTAGCATTTACGAACTTTCACTTATTTGTTATGCTTGCCCATTTCGCCGCCTTCATCGTCAACGTTGTCATGTGCGAGTATCGGATGGTAAAGCTTCCCAGCAATGAACAGCCCAAGGAAATCGGCCAGTGGATCTCATGGGTTAGCATTGCGCTGGTCGTGTTTGCCCAGACACTTAACCGCTATTTGAAAATACGCTGGGGGCCTGGTCAAGGTGAAGGTGAAGGTGAGAAGAAGAAACGAATGGCCCCCGAAGACGAAGAGAAGGCGCTGGCGCTCGACCGTTGGAGGAGGTTTGGCATTTCTCCAGCGGTTCGAGTACGGGTCATGGAAGATCAACAGATGGTGGTGACGCCGCCTAGGGGTAATGAAGTTTTTAAAAAGGGCGATGCGCCACCAGGTATAAGGATGTTTAGAAGTGAGACAACAGGTTCGATGAGGAGGAATAGCTTTTGAGTGATATCTTCGAGAGTTCCTTTTCTTTTTTTCTCTTTCCTCTTCCCTCTCTCCCTCCCTGCCTCGATTCTACTCTGCCCTGATCTGAACGGCTTCCCATCTGCATCGCAGCAGTCTGCAACTATATAGAATAATTTCAACGTTTCATTTTAACTAGTGAACGCAATGATATTCTTATTTTGGATCAACTTCTATGTAGAGCGTCTTCTAACCGACCGCGACTACCTAAATAGGTAACTAACTGGCTGGGCCGCACCCTAGCTCCCGAAACCTTAATTGACCAGCGAATATCATTCTCTTCCAAGGACATTGAATCATACTGTAGGCCTCTATCACAATCATCCTTCATTATTATGATGGCAATAATAAATGCATAGACAAAGATGCCTTAGGAAAAAAGGTGTCCGAGACCATATTCGATTTTTTATTTTATTTTATTTTATTTTATTTTTATTCAACGACTGAATTTTGATAAAATGAAGCAATAAGCGTTGGGCTAAGGAATAAGGAATCTCATCATTTCAGATATCACCGAAGGGCCATCAACAAGGATAGCGTACGCCAAACATATTCAATACTACCCATAACCAACCACTCTCCATTTCCCACGCCTGTAATCACCGAGAACCCAAACACCAAAACATTATGTATGAGTTATAGCCCAAACGCCATCAAACACACCCAAGGAAAGAAAGCACGTTATACATTTGAAATAAAAAAGGAAAGAAATCAAGAGCCGATCAATCACCCCTGCATCGTCTGCCAGAAATAATTTGCATAGAAAAACCGGGAGAATTTCGGATCGATATTAACCACGTGGACGTCACCCTTGCGGCTGTTTCGGATAATTGCTTTGTTGTAGTTGCCCGCTTCATCGGACTCGACATCGATTCCGAGTGAGCGGTAGATTTTGAGGCGGAGACTAAATATAGCGTAGCGGGTGATTGGCATTTGGGTTAGTTTCTTTTATTCCCAAAAAGAAAAGAAAAAAAATAAGAACAATGCCGGTTATCCCAAGGGTAATAGGCGAGTAGGTAGTCGGGAGAGAGTAAGGGGGAAGAAAAAAAAGAAAGAAAGAAAGAAAGAAAGAAAAAGAAGAAGAACAAAAGCAAGACATACATCGTCGAATCATCCAACTCCCTCTCCCTCCTCGCTATCTCATCCCCCTCGAGACCTTGCGCATCCAACTCCGCCAACCGCGCCTTCAACATCTCCAACTCCCCCTCCAGCCGCTCACTCTCAATCTCTAGCTCCGACGCCGCCTTCGCAATGCGAAACTTCTTCGTATCAAGCTCGACTATGGACGCAGCGTGGCGGGCGGGGTCGTGCGAGGAGACATTGTCTGCGTGCTGGGCGCTGAGGGTGTTGAGGTTGCGGGCGAGTTTGCGGAGGGAGATTTCTGCTTCGCGGGTGCGCAGGTCGCGCGATTGTTGGAGGGAGGAGAGGGAGTCGGTTATGCGGGTTAGGGCGAGTTTGTCGGGTTGGATGTTAAAGTTGCCGATTGTGTGATGGATTAGCTGTGGTTTTTTTTTTTTTTTTTTTTTTTTGGCATTCGTCAGTTATTGGGGTTGGTCAGGATGGGTTTGAGAGCTGAGGGGAACGTACTGTTGCTGGGTCTTCTTCGAGGAGCATCTTTGCGGCATGAGCTGTGTAGAGGTTGAAATCGACGCTGTCTTTCTGAGAGATACGTAAATGCGCAGGTTGGCGAAAGGGATGGATTGATAACTAGTTAATGGTGATGAGGTCAGATGTGGCTGTGTTTGTTGACGTTCTGCCGTTGTTGCGGGGAGTAACTGCCACATGACTGACTTGGCGCTAGTTACCGTCGGCGGCTGTCGTTTGCTCCAAAACTCCGCCCGCGCAAACAGAGCAGAGAAACCGGATATCTAACTCCAGACCGCTGTGTTTGAGACACGAACCACGCCACTGCACCGCTCTTTAATGTATCCTGAGCTGCTGTCAATATACACTTTTGCTACAGAGAGCAGAAAAAAACTTCATATCACATATCAGTAAACCTCTATGGGTTCGAATCTTCCGTGTATGGTTTGCTCCGCACCTGCCTATCCCCTAGTTTTCCGCTCCGCATGTTGCTAATACGTATATCTGAATCTAGATGCGGCGGATGCGGAGAGGTCAGTTCCATATCTTTTTTGCCTATACATCCTCACATTATGAGATTCTATAAACGAAGACCTCCACTTGCAGAATAATTTCGCTGCCTGTTTCAGAGAAAGAAGCGAGATAACTGATACCACGTTTACCTATCCCGCAGCCCGCTGAAGCCCGCAGAGCTCCAGGTCCTGAGAGCCCAATACGAAAAGGAAGGAGAATATGTCGGCGTGCAGACTAAATTCAATTATGCTTGGGTATATAAAACATTCATTCCTCTTATTTATTATTATTCGCTCTTCCCAATCAATCTCTTACGCCCAACCCCCTCGCAAACGACACAAACGACTAACAATCACCCCCCTCCCCGCAAACAAAATCTACAGGGCCTCATAAAATCCAACGTCCGCCAAGAACAACAAGAAGGCGTGCGCCTCCTCTCTGAAATATTCAAATCTGCTCACGAACGACGGCGCGAATGTCTCTACTACCTCGCCCTCGGCAACTACAAGCTCGGCAACTACGGCGAGGCGCGCAGATACAACGATCTCCTTCTCGACCACGAACCTGGGAACCTGCAGGCGGCCAGTTTGCGAACGCTGATTGATGATAAGGTTGCGAAGGAAGGGTTGGTTGGGGTTGCGATATTGGGAGGTGTGGCTCTGGCGGCTGGCGTGGTCGGGGGACTTATTATGAAGGGGGCGAAGAGGCGGTGAGGTGAAGAGGGAGGTTATTGTAGGGTGCGGGATTATATCCATATATTTTCCCCTCTCTTCCTTATGTTTGGTTCGTGGGCGGAGGAAAGGTTTTATGTTGCTACGATGTCCCACTCAAGATGGAAATGATGGACGGTAGCATACGGGAGGCGTTTAGAACAAGGGGTGTTGGTGGTGGTGGTGGTTCCAGTCATCCTTTCTATTGATGGGCTACGGAAATGTCATCGTGACCTGCCGTTACTCCTATCATTTTTTTTTTTTTTTTTTTTTTTTTTCCCTGCCCGGTCAAGCTATTTTTCATTTACCCCCATGAAGTTTTTCCTTTTTTTTACAGTATTGTGTTATTTTAAACCATATCCTCGTGGCTCCAAGACCGGATATCTATATAAATAGGATGCATACATAGTAATTTTGGCATAGGCGTTTGTTATTTATGGCGAACATCCCTTTTCCTGAGTTTCGGCACATTAATATAATACATCCCCATCTCCGCTATGTGGGTGTGCTAGCACATGCGTAAGCATGGGAGAAAGGGGCGTGACAGTACGACAGATTGACGGAGACTTGCAAACGTCTGAAAGGAAAAAGAATATAAGAGAAACTGAAAGGACAACAAAAGAATAAAAATTGAAGAACAAAATAGGTGAGCAGCCCTGGACCAATATAAGGCGCGGCGGTTAGATGATCAGTTCGGACCGGGGTCAGCGAGTTAAGCAAGAATGAATATTGGATTCTTGACTCTATCCTGTCGACTTTCACGAGCCATAGAAATTAGACGCAGCCGGTCTGATAGAGATAACGGCTAAATAAGAATTCAGCAGAATCTGAAATGAGGTCCAGGGGAGGCTCTTTTGCAACCGGCAAGGTTGAGGAGGAACAAAGGAACTGGTATTGGTCAAAGTTAGCTATAGTAATAAGGATGTAGATATAGAGCAAACTGATCCTATGTTGGTAGCAGTTATGGCAACAAGGGAGAAGATACCTGGGTATATAGATGGGGTAGCCAGGGGAGGTTTGCCAAAAAAGCAGCTGGATACAAGTCCGAGGCTCCCCCGCCACAGATTAAGTTAATGATCACTAAGCAAAACAACGTCATCGCCAAAATCCGACGTTCAACCACTCAAAGAACGAACAACTCGCAGCTTCACCACGGCACCCAGCTGCACTTCGCCTGGTCGTGTCAACCACCATTGTCAGACCTTCAAATCCGCCAGGTTCCATTTTGTCTATCTGATTCACCCAAATTCTACGACTACGCCTTTGATTTCCATCCAGTTGGCTACTCCTCAGGTGAGGTGGCCGTTCACCTTCTCGTTCGGCCAACAAAGCCAACAAACGTAGTAATAATCTTTTCGTTCCAGCTAACCCACGCCAACTCCTTGCTATCTTCGTTGGTTGTATCTATATCGCACTCCGCGCATAACTGGCTTTCTACATCACGCTCTCTCCGAAAGTGCAAGTGAAATACTCCTTTTGCCATATACGACCAGCAGCCCAATAAACTTGGGGCCTGCGCCACTCCCTTTACCCGACTTCTCGCCGTAAATGCTATTTTCAATCCCTCTTCGTCTTATCTTTTGACAGAAGAGTTGATCGATAAATACGTGATATTTTCCGGCAGATAACTTCTGTCCCTTCCACTCAGCCATGGCTGACGAACCGAGGCCAGAGAGGTTGTACTGTTACCAGTGCCAGAGTGTATGGGCAAGGGAAGCAGAGAGCCCATTACTGTGTCCTATCTGCGAGTCCGACTTTGTCGAAATCGTAAGCACGCTTCTGATGCAGCTTCGTCTATTCCCTTACAGCACGCCTATCAGTCGATAGAAACTGCTAACTAGCTATCTCTGCTAGGTGGAAACCGATAACCCTCCACCAGATCTCCAACTTCCTCGGGTAGACAACCCTCCTGGCCGCTACCATTCCCGCTCAACATCGCCCTTCCCTTCCATAGATGACCATGGTTGGCGACCAGACATCCGAACTGAACACCTCGAGATCCCAGGCGGTGGTACAACGTTTCGGAGCTTTCGCTCGGGCGATGGGAGATTTTCCTTCGCAAGTACTTCTTTCCGGCCGCCCAGGGGTTCTTCCCCTCACGAACGACCCCAACATGATATCCACAACGACCCCTTCGCGCTTCTTCGCAACACCACGGCTCTACTGCACGCCCTTACAGAAAACCGCCATGCCCGGGTCGCACGGACACCCGGTCCCCCTGGCCTGCGTTCGCCATTTGCTATGCCTGACCTCCATGAACCGCATACCCGTCATGGCCATGATGATCTAGGCTTAAATATCAACGGAGACGGAAACATGCTAAGAGTCAGTTGGCGTCTGACACCGCGAAATGCATACAACGCCCGAGAGGATACGGATCCTTTTGCTCATTTACAAGAGTCAGTTCCCCAACATCTCCACCCAGCAATAACCGCCCAGGGTTTATAAACTAACCAAGTTGGCTGTTAACTAGAGTCCTCGGACAATTCGCTGGACACCAACATGGAAACCGGTTGGACGATGGGGCGGACAGGGAAGTAACAGCGATACAATCGTTGATGCTGTCACTACTTCAAAACATTGCCGCCGGCGGTGGAACCCTAGATGAGAATGCAGACCAACCGGTAACCCCCGAACAGCTCGCACTCCTCAAAACCCAGACATTAAAAGAAACGTTACAAGAAACGGACGGGGCCCTTGATCGTTTCGACGGCACGGAAACCTGCGGCATCTGCATGGAAACTGTCGATCTAGATTCTAGAGTCACGGTGCTGCCATGCAAACACTGGTTCCACGCTACATGCATATCCCCTTGGCTGGACGACCATAATACTTGCCCTCATTGTAGAGCCAGGATTGGGCGTCGCGCACCTCCAACGCCGAACGGGGAACAGCATCGGGACTCAGGGCCCGGCCCAGCGTCCGACCAAACGCCCCCGCCTCGATCTGCCTCCGCCCCTCGTGGTATAGGAAGCATGGCGGACCCGTTTATTATTTCAGACAGTCCGCCTCGTCGATCAAGTTCGGGGAATGGCAATAGGTCACGGTCCCCGCGTTCCTCTACGAATCGCGACGGTGCCAATGCACTGTCCCACGAAACTGAGAGGCTCCGTTCACGCCCCGGGCATGATCACCCAGAACCCAACAACTTTGGTGGGTGGCTTTGGAATTGGCTCTATAATAATGATGATTAAAGTCACCCATCCTCGGTTCCTACTACTACCGTACCCTTAAATTCCACCTTCTCACATTGAAAACTCCTCTCTCTTCGGCCACGACAATTGCAAGGAGGTGACTTATACATGGGCCTTGCTCTACTATTGTCACACCGGGCCTTGTGGCAGCCGAAAGAATCCAACTGAATTAATACCCACTTCGTAACACGTGACCTAGTAGTGGATATCTCAGTTTTGAGATGGGGATCATGAATATGATATGATACCTTGAACATCAACCCCCACGCATCCTCTGCCATATTTTTTCCCCTCTTCTTCAGTCCACCTGTTTTTGTATTCATCTTTCTGTTTTAATGGAATATAAATTTTTATTGTCATTGTTGTTTTTTATGTTGATTTGTTTGACAGTTAATAAAAAGAATGTGCAGGTCTCACTTTTTCTCTTCTCTCTCTTCTTATACAAGTAGAAGTTTCTTAGCATCTATAAGTGAGACATATAAGTGAGTTAATCATCTTCTCATTATTTTGCTTGTTTACAATCAAATATAATAACAGTTATATACTTAGACTGACCGTGTAACCGTGTCTGAGACTAGGATCAAACTTTACAGTTATGTAAGAATAAGTGCTCACAGGCGATTATTCAGGTGTTTGCAGCTTGGTGTGATATATACTGATAACTACTAGAAGTATTCACGGTAGAAAGATAAAATATAGAGATTAAATATATAATAGTGTAAGAGGCCTACGCCGAATAGATCGGTATAATAAATAGGTCTTATATAACAAAGTGAAAAATGTTAAAGAAGGAAAAGAAAGAGAAGATGTGAGAATCAGTGATCAGAGTGAATATTTATATGTGTATATAGTATATATGTAATGAAGCTTCAGAGCAGAAGAATAGAAATTCAGTGAGTTTTTCAGTCAAGAATTAGCAATTAAGAATGACTGAGAATTGAAGCTTTCAGCAGAATCTATGAAGTGTAAAGAAATAGTCTATATAATGATTAAGTATAGTCTGTCACTTTAATTCTCTTCTTCTCTGATCATGTGTAGTTCTTATCAGTTAAGAATCACAGTTTCAGATAATACAGAACTCAGAGTTTAGATCAGATAATTATAGTTAATTTATTTTATAAGATATTATCAGCTGCAGCTGCAGAGTGTAATATGATAAAACTGAAGCAGTGACTAGTCAGCAGCATTATGTAAAGATAGTTGTTTAAGAAGCTATATAAGTGAGCTTGACTATCTTGCTTGAATAGTGAGCTCATAGACTACAGAGTTATTACAAGAATATCACAGATATGATACTTAGTATACTAAGAAGATTGTATGAGAAACACAGTAACTCTTGTATATATTCTAGTAGAAGAAAAATAAATCACTGACTTCTTTGATAAGAAGTCAGCATCTAGCTATTCTATATAGATAATGAGTGAATACTCTTCTCTCATTTTATAAATAAGAGTAGCTGAAGTAATATCTTAGCAGTATCTCACTGTTAAGAAAGAGTAATCTGCTAATCTTATATAGAAGTAAAGTTCTTATATTCATCAATCAAATCTTTCTATAATATATTCAAATGATATTATAGAGTGATTGAAAACTAGTTCAGATAGAATGAAATTATCTGTATAAAAGCAATAAGCTGTGTAAAACTGTAGCAGAGTCTTGATATAGCTGAGAGTATAATAATACTCTTCTCTTTAAGAGCATAGTTCTGATACTCTTAAGATTACTGAATTAAAAGTTATCTTTGTTATATAACAACAGTTATTAACTAATTAACAGTACATATACTGTATATAATATAAAGAAATAGATGAGTTTTTCTGCTAACTGTGTAGATCTTTCTTTTCTCATCTTTATTTAAATTAAACATGTGATAAGTGAGTTTCTTATATATTAATTTAAGATGTGAAAAATGTAGTTAATAAGTAGCTTATAGATCTCTCATCATATTTTATTCTATATATAAAATTCTCTGTAAAAGTGATATATTTTAGAGACAAAGCTAATAGTAGTAATAGAATTTTTTAAAAAGATTTTCTCTTTTTATAACATATTTTTCTTTCTCTCTTTCTCAATTGCAACAGTGAGTGTATAAGAGTATTATTCTTAAAAGATAATAAAGAACTTATTCTGACATTTTCTAGTAATTAAATATCTTTGTAATGCAGCTGCAGCCTTCATAACTGTCAAGAAAGTTAGATTGAAGATAGAGACAGTGATATTAATAAGCTGTGAAAGCACTGCTCTTATTATCACATCTTCTCTCTCTTCTACATCTCTTACAGCTGTGGCAGTAGTAGCTGCACCTTGCAGTGAGATGTCATCTCTTCTATCAGTCAGTTTATCTATGTTCAGTCTGTTCTCTGCTCTCTTCACTATCATTACAATATCACTCCTCTCTTCAATCAACACAGTGACATATAACCCTGTGTAATTATTCAGAGAGAATCTTAGAAAGAGCTTGATTTCAGAGACAGCAGCTTTAAGAAGCTTAATCTATAGTTTCTCTTCTATGATATGTCTGAGCCCTGCTTAGAATACTGCTAAGTTAAGTTCACAGAGTTCTGTGATTTCTTTATCTTCTCTCTGTAAGAAGACTTCAGTGCAGTCTCTGATCAGTACTATTATTTATCTACACTGTATTAAACAGCTGAAGAAGAGAGAGATTTTATATATCTATCTCTTCTCTCACTTCTGTTATTTCTATTATATTTATAATAATGACTTCTATCTCTCTATAAGTATTATCTCACAGAAAGATGTTATATTGACTCTGATAAAAAGCTCAGATACTTAAGCAGTATAGAGTGAGAATCTCAGAGCTTTAAGTATTGACAGATTCTATCAAGACTGAGAAGATCTCTCTTACTTATCTATAAAAGAAGATAAAAGCATGAATCTCTGAGATGAAAAAACATCTTAGAATAGCTAATCTTAAGAAGAAGTCAGTCAGCACTGCTGTTAAAAGTACTGTGAAGATTAATCACTGATTAAAGAGAATCTCACTTCAGTTGAAATAGATAACTGAGATACTTTGTAAGTTAATAAGTTGATAATTTCAGTATCTCTTATACTCTTCTACAGTATGTATACTCTTCTGCAGCATGCTTCTTTATAATGCTGCAGTGCTAACTTCTCAGCAGACAAAGATATCAGTGCTGAAGACTTCAATGATAAAGAATAAGTTTAATAAGAATATAATTGTTAATGAGTAGACTCTGAGATTCTCTCTTTTTACTTTTTCAGCAGACTGTGATCTCATTAGAATAGCAGTAGTCTGTGAGTTGATAATATTAATCTTTTTATTAATTTCAAATATCTCTTTTCTCTAACTGCTTCAGAAATTTTACACTTGTATAGTCTTATTAAACTTCTAAAAAACTCTTTAAGAGAAAATAGAAGAAGAGTGCTACAGAGCTTATAAGATATCAGCTCATCACTATGAGATTATCTCTAAAAAAATTATTTAAGAAAAAATAAGAAGTTTCAAGCAGTATTTCTTACTCAACATCTCTGATATATAATAGAATAGTCTCTACTAGTCATCTCATAGCTTACAATCTCTTTCTCAGTATTTTTTAAATACTTAAGTGATTTTTACAAATTCTCTGATAATGAATAATCTTCTCATTTAATAAGATATTGAAGCTTGCTATAATATATTCACTTATTCAATATTTTCTTCATAAGATATTCAGTATCACTCTCAATCTTAATATTATTCAGCTGAGACAGCTCTGCTCTGAGATATTACTTATAGAACTTTAAATAGAAAATGTGAAAAATAGAATAAATTGATTTTAATTCTGTGAGTAATTTCAACTTATATATCTATTTACTCATCACTCTTGTTACTAGAAAAGATTCTAGTCACTACTCACTGAGCTTCTTACACAGTCTTATTATCTTAATATTCTTTACTAAAAGTAGTACTTGATCCTCTATCAAGAACTTCATTGAAAGATGTTTTCAATTATAGTATTTTATCTGTTACTTCTGAGCATAGTAGATGCTTTTCATCATCTTCTCATGAATTTTATTTAAAAGTTTCAATCTCACTTTTACTTCTGACACTGAGAGATACTCTGTTCTCTGTATCTGTTTAATATTCTAACTATCTATCTCTTTCTTTAAAATGTCATCTGCAATGTCACTGAGTAACAAAGAATTATATTTATAATAAGTATAGAAGAGAGATATCTTTAAGATTACATTCTTTGTATTATTATATATAAATTCAGTGATTAGAAGATGTTTGAGTCAATTATTCTGATAATATAAATAGAATGTTTAAAGATACTGTTCTAGTGTCTGATTCTAATATTCAGTCTGATCATCTATCTGTGAATGAAATACAGTACTGAGAAGATGTCTTATTATAAGATGATAGTAAAAAGCTAATCAGTATTTACTGATGAAGAGACATTCTTAATCTGTTATTAATAATTTCAGAGTACTGTAATCATAAATAATAATATCTAAAAACAGGTCAGCTAATTCAGAGGCTTTAATCTTTTTATAAGTAGAGATATATTTGATTATCTTTATAAAACAGTTAATAATAATTAAAATTGAGTCATATTCTTTAACTCTTATTAACTTCAGCAGATCAACTATGAAATTCATTAATAGATTCTATTATAAGTTCTTTAAAATAGACAGTGATATTAACTCACTGTATTACTTATACTACAGAATCTTTATTCTTTAACAGATATTATAAGTCTTGATATACTCTTTGACATCTGTTCAGAGCTTGTCTTAAATATATTTATATTTTAAAAGCTTCTCAGTCTTCTCTAGCCTGAAGTGCTCTGTATGAGAATTATTATAATAAATTCTTAATAACTTCTGATACATCACTCTGCTATAAGAAATGAAGACTGAATTATTCAGTAGTAGAAGTTCACATTCTTCTAGTTATCAGTGACTTGATTTCTTAGCAGTACTGTTCTACTCAGAGTCTGTCTCTTTCAAGTTTAAATCAGATTCTTTCTTCTTTAACTTCTGAATTCAAGCTATAGTAGAGATATTCTTCTTCTATAACTTATCAATAAATTTCAAAAGTAGTTAAGTTGAAAGATTGTAGACTGTTTCATTCTTTATCAATTCAATGATAGTAAGATATAATATAAGAAGCTTATAATCTTCAGTGTCAGTTCTCTGCAGAGATTCAGGTTTTCTTTCATCTTCTATACTGAGTCACACAGCTGTCTTACTAGTACTATTTCTGAGCTTCAGAGAATCTCAATTCTCTGCAGTCAGCTTCTTCTGCAGTAATAATAGAGATTCTTTTATAGAATTCTTCTCTATATTAATAATATTATAATCAGATTATCTAAACAGTGTGTCAGCAGAGTTAAGCTAATCTGAATAATATCAGATATAGAAATCATACTCTGAAAGCAGCTCTGCTCACCTGACTTGATATTCTGTCAAGCTCTTTATTGTCAAGAAGTAATACAGATTTGCATGATCAGTGAGAACTTACACTGAGTACTTACTACTCTGAAGATAATATCATCAGATCTTAAAGAATTTGACAATTACTAACATCTTCTAATTA